AAAGACAAATATCTCCATTTATGAAAGTCCTACAATCTTCGTACTTGCTCAAACATATACTCTTCAAGTCTCTATCTTTGTGAATTTGCTAATTTATTTATGGCTAGAAACCAAGAGAAGTAAATACACTAAAATAGGACAGAAAGACAAAAAAATCGCTTTATTCGTTGTTTTTTTTTTTGCATTTTTGCGCTAATTTTGATATTTCTCAACAGCTACCGCTTGTAAAAAGCCAAAAACTCAATAAATTTCCGACATTCCTACTATAAAAGCACCAGTGTGAGAGCAGCCCAGCGCAGCTCTGGCAAGAACATAAAAATTATTTTTTTCTCCATTTATAGCTATGGAAAAATTGAGGAAACGTAAAAATGCCGGACGAGGAGAGTCCATGTCTGGGCACGTAAGAAACACTTGGCAATTTTTTTGCGGATTCGATTTTTCGCACATTTTTGAATCCTTCTAAATCTCGGCTCGAAGTTCATGTGGAATAAACTTTGAGCAAATATTTAGGTTTGTGTAGCTTGCTTTGCTCTGTTAACTGGTAAGGCAAAACCTCTTCAGAGAGTGAGAGGAAAATGAGTTATCACGTGCGAAGTAGAAACGGTAAATTATGAGACACAACAATAATTTAGGAAATTTCAGGACGTTTGTACATCTCATATTTGGCAGAGATGTGAAAGCAACCACCATTTTTGATTTTAACTCTTCGTATTCTCACATGTGTTGCATGAATGTGACTAGTTGAACGAACACGGAACCAAAGAATCAATCAAGGAGAGCAAAATGTTAAAAACGTGACTTTCTTTGTTAGTATATAAGCTCCCTCATGATCAAATGTCAAGAAATGAACAACCAGGGTCGGTAGTAATCTGGTCGAAACTCCGAGTTTAAAGCTCTGCGTTAACTCAGAGACAACTCTGAGTTCCGTTTTTATAACTCTGAGTTACGCTTATTGAAACTCTGAGTTCCGTTTTCGTAATTCCGAATCCCAACTCTCAAGCTCGGAGTTTGCTTGAGAAGCGATGTTACGCACCTTGCTGCAAAAGCGATGTTGAAGTTGGGACTCAAACTTGCATGGTCTAGCGCAAAGATCCCATCGCTTTACCACTAGACCATGACATACCGTGAACCCTAAAATTGCTTTGCCATAATGTACTCACTCATACCATTAACACTTAGCAGGTCAAAACAAGTTATACCAAAGCCTCACTCATTTCCATTTCTATCGGGCAATGATGGTTCATCACGAGGATTGGTCTTTTGCGCAGCTGAAAGCTTCAAACAATAGAGAAAGCGGATGGCATACGCAATGATAAGAATTGACTATTAGGATTTGCGCACAGAATAAATCCTCGGGCAAAGTTTGCCCTTCCATGATTTCATCTTACTTACCGTATACCTACCGTAACCGTTCCATATGTCACCAGTGTATGTAGCAGATAGATTGTCCGTAATCTGCATCCCGAAAAACCCCAGTATACCAAGTTTCGATCAGTTTCGTGATTTTCTCCTATCTACCGTAAACCTACCGTAACCTCGTCAGATGATAGCACAGTAAAATCTGCATGTCATATTCGTTATCGACGCCCCGAATAACCCCAGTGTACCAAGTTTCGATCAGTTTCGTGATTTTCTCCCATCTACCGTAAACCTACCGTAACACCTCTACATGACCCCATAGTGAAAAATGGGTACCATATGCGTGATCAGCGCACCGAATAACCCCCTGGGCCAAGTTTTACTCAGACAATCGACGGGACCCCTCCGCCGGACAGTCCGAAACTGCCAGAGTCGCGCCGGACCCAGTTGACCAATGAGAGAGGGGCAAATGGGCGGTCCATCGCGGTGACATCACTGGCAGGCAAGTGGGAGGCTTCTCCGGCCCTGCTGCAAAGGTCCGCCATTTCTCCGGCGCGACTCTGCCAGATTTGGCGGACTCCGCGCCGGAGAAATTTGCCCGGCGCGAGTCCGCCAAATTTGGAAGAGCCGCGCCGGAGAAAATGGGAGGGGTCCGGAGCAGAAATGGGAGGCCTCCGGAGCAGAAATGGGAGGTCTCCGCCGGAGAAATGGGAGGGCTCCGCCGGACAAATGGGAGACCCACCGCTGGGGAAACGCCGCGACCCTGCCATTTCTCCGGCGGAGGGGTCCTATCCGCTGTCTGAGTAATAAAATTTCAAAATTTTGTAAATCACTGCTCACCACGATACCCCCATCATGCCTGCTTAAACTACGAGCAAAATGTACCCCGGAGGACTTTTTAGCTGCCCCTCTTCTTTTGCGCACTATTTCTCTTTCTCTGACCAAACTCAGAGTTATCTCTGAGTTCCACGATAGAGTGGAACGCGCACCAAACTCAGAGTTATCGCAGACACTAGTTGCACGTTTGGTGGCGCTGTTTCTTGTGCAGGACGATTTGGACAATGTTGCGCTACTAGGAATAAACTACGTGTTAAGGAGAATCCTGCCATACGTCGCTTTCCGAATTTGATCTGTTCAAACACCTGTTAAGGGGGTCAAAAAGTTGCGCGTTAGCTCAGACATAATTCAGAGTTAACTCTGAGTTATAACTCTTGAGTTTCGATAGGTTTACTACCGACCCAGATTTTTCGACAAATGAAATAAACATTAGGATGACTTTCCAAACAAACCGCTGACACAAAGTTCATAGAGATCATGTATGTGAATAAAGCTCAGAGAAAAATGATGGAAAAATGGCAGCGTACATGGCCAACAAACAGAGAGTAGGTAAGATTCTTCTCAATAGGTGCCACTTTCGCGAATACACAGCGTAAATTCGTAAGAACATCAAGTTAAGAAGACCATTGGTCACACTGTAGCATCCAGTCAACAGCGTAGAATAAATCGCAGCTATTTGTACGAGCACACACGGTTTTGGAAACAAGTTAGGCCCGCTGCACTACAAACCATACATTCGCTAAGAGAGCGACTACGGAGCGGGAGGATAGGGGCGGGGGGGGGGGGGGGCACAACGCAAGAAGAACAGACTACAAAAACGCACAAATAAACAATGACACGGAGAGTCGCTAGTTGATAACAGGACGTCATGAACGAATTGTACAGAACCTTGATTGATGAGGAATGAGAAAACTGTAGATGTGTAGGTGATGTATGATATCAATGGATGACTTGTTGAGCATCATAAATTCTCCTTTTTTTCATTTTTGCATGACTGATCAAAGAATAGTCACTCAAAGAAGCATCTTCATATAGAATCCGTTTTACTTCATCATATTTGAAACTTGTGAACAAGAAATAGTATTCAGTTACCCATCTTACCACAAAAGGCCATAGTGACTAAGTGTCGTTCCCCTGTAAGCAATTTGTCCCGTCGCAAAAACCTAACTCCGAAGAAAGGCACTTCAAGATGGATGTGCCAGGGGTCGACACGCCCATCAACGTGAGTGGTCAAAGTACTGAGCCAAAAGTGATCTTCAGAGCATCTGATGACAAAAATCCTACTGATCACGATAGTGACTTTCCAATTTCTGAGCGCGGAGCCCCTTTGGGGCTAATTATTTTCAAACCACCCAAATAATGCCTATCCCTGCCGTATCTGAAGCGCTTCTCAACCAACTTCTTTTGCAGCGGGACTTGACTCTTACTAAGATAACGAATAGCAGAATGAGATTCCTGCTCCTAGTTTTCGCGAACGCAACTACCGCCGTCCAACAAAATTGGGACGCAGCACACGAGGGCCAACGCAAATACGCGGAAGAGACTACAGTCCGCCTCAACCTTGTGCTCTCTTTTCCACCAACCAAAACGCAACGCATAGCCTCGTGCCACGTTCGCGCGTATTCAAATCGGGATCGCCGCGCTAGGCCCTTGCGGTGCGGACGCCCAGCTACTACGGAAAGGAGAGCACTTTGTTGACGTCGATTGTACTTAGAAAAAGCTCAAAAAGCACAAAAACACACAAGCACAAACACGTTGGTCAAATACTATGCATGCATCACAAGTTTACAGCTGACAAGACGAAGAAAGTGCAGCTTTATCGATCAAAATGTAGATATTTTCAGTTTGGAAAATTAATGAACGTAGGTATACAAATCGATGTCACATTCAAGATCTATGGAAAAAACAGCGGAAGACTAATGTTTGAATAATGAAGTTTTCATGCAGAACTTCCTTCTGCAAACTAATAACTAATGACTCAAGGAATAGCTGAATGTTGAAAATGATTAGATCAACAATACCAGAGATCAGCGTCTGTCTTACTAAAATGCTTCAGACATACGGAAACAAGCAACGACCTAATCAAACAAGATTATCAACGTCATGACGACCTCAATAGATCAAAAACAAGAGAAATAATTTTCTATAAAAATCGTAAAGCGACAAGTAAAAAAGGAACAAAAATCACAACAGAAAACCGGCTCATAGGGATGTGCCTCAAAAAGCTGGTGTAGGCAGTTAGGAAAACTGCTTGCGCTGGTTTATACTTCACAGCATCGTACTTGCACGAACCCCAAACACTACCTTTTGCACCACTCCCTCCTCTACGAACCAAATAAGCAGGTATGTCGTTACATCTTCATCTACAGATTGTATGGTTTGAGTTCCAACAATTGTAAGTAAAAACTAAGTAAGGAATGTGTGCCGTAGAATTTTATGAAGTCGTCGCAAAAATGGCAATATTGCCGCAACGCGTCCTTATACAGCAGAATTCGTCACAAAATCCTTCTAATAAAAAAAGCATTGTTGCGCAATAAATCTCCCATATTCAAAGATCCTCTACAAAGGAGGACGCTCGCATACGATTGCAGCGCGAGCCCAACGCGTTGAAAGCGGCTATAACACATGCCATACTTGTTCCATGTTATCCATTTGATACTTGATCCACTTCGCTACTGGTCAAAGCAGTGGACTGATCAGTAGCGAAGCAGATGTCAACTTGATCCGCTTCATCCACTTCGCTATTGGTCACTTCACTGGTATGGCCAATAGCGGATGAAGTGGACCAAGTGGATCAAGTATTGCATGTGCCCATCATGATGAGGACCTTACACTTTAATGCCCATCTCAGCAAGTATCGATGATGTAAAGTAAGCAGGAAAAAAAGAAAACTGATAAATACAAACACTGCTCTCCCACCAGATCATTGGTGAAGTAGATCTGGTCTCAGATCAGCAAGAACCACAGCAGAGATATAATCAAGAAAAATTGAGATTAAATAGAGGTATGGCATTTTGGCAAGAGTTGGAATAATCCTCACAATTTTCAGAAAAGATTCTCAATGAGATTCAGCTGCACCATCGGAAACGTACACTCCTTCTTCTCGTGTCTCCACTTCCTCACCATCCTCTTCTGGATCTGCATTGAGCATCCCCAGCAATTTGTCCTTCATTTCGAAGCAATTTTCATATGTTACCACATCGTCAGGCTGAAATGTAAAAGAAAGGAGAATGGTCAGCCAAAAACTGCAATTCAGATTATTCTTGAAAATACAAGATAAATATATAAAAATTTGTTTATCAGAAGAATGATATCAAAAATAGAGGGTAGGTAGTTTCCGCTGCGAAGAAACTTACCATAGCCCATTTCAAGATGATGGTCAATTCCGACCTAAACTCGTCCTCACAAAGCTTTCTCATCTGCTCTTTATCACTCCGTCGTAACAATCGCAATTCATCTCTTTCTCGTATCACCTGAAAAAATTATATATTTTGCTCACAACTAGCAAAAATGTACAGCTTGGTAGACGTGAAAACTAGTCTGCGTGCGTCTAGAGTTGCAGCACATTCGCGCGCGAAGTCGCATGCCGCAACAAGAACAAACCGGATGCTACTTCATGTGACGCGCAAGTGTTGTCTATACCGCAGGAGCACTATTTCATAAACTCGACTGTATGTGTAAAACCCTGACCTTCAATACATGCTCCTCCCACGTATTCCTGCCAAATTGCTCCATGTCTTGCTCTAACAGCTCATCGTCGGTCATTCTTCGGAAACGTTCAGCAAATGACACACCCTAGATGTTTTTTTACTGATCATATATAACAAAAAAGATTGAGGAAGAAAGACGAGAAAATAGAAAAAGAGAGGAAAGACAAAGTGACGTGGAGGCATGCAATGATTACTAGTCCGCTCTCTTTTGTCTTGCCCTACTTGTTTCACAAAGAAGTTTAACAGTTTTCGCGTCTGTGCCATGGCCCGATCCGCTCGCTCCTTCTCCTTGTCGATCTGCAACAATCAATTTTCACATTCTAACTTTCCGCAAAAAATGATCTCACCAGCTCCTTATCAACAAGCCCTTTTCCAGCTGTTCCATTGGAAAGCGTCGGCGTAGTAGCCACTGATGCTGAAGAGAGTGATTGTTTAACAGATGTGTTGGGCTTAATCGATGTGGATGATGGAGATTGCTTCACCGAGACGTTCGATGAGGAGGGCTTCACTTCTAGAAAAGGGGAAGTCTGCTTGCAAACACAGAAGTTCTTCTAAAAGGAGTGGTTTTGTATGTTCTCGTCTTCGTCCACAATGCTCTCAGTTCCCTTTGCCCTGATAGGATAAACTCATTAGTATCTTCTAATTGTTAATCTTTATTGAACTGGTTCATCCTAAAATAAGCGGGATTTGCTAACAATGAGATACAGGCCCTTAAAGGCACCGTCCATTCAGATTTTCGACTTCTATGTTCTTGTCGTTTCAGGGCCTCCTCACGTCCCTGAGGCCCCGGTCAGACTTCACGCGACTTAATCGTCGCGATCAAATCGCCAAGATTTCCATTCATTTTCATTTCACATTCAAAATTTTCGGTCTGGAAAAGTATCACAACCGAATGCAAGTTGATCTGCATGGAATGATGTTGTAACAGTTGTCTCCTCGCGATTCAGTCGCGACGATCAAATCGCGTGAAGTCTGCCCGGGGCCTGATTCCGAATATGAATTCGTGAAAGCGCGAAAACCCCGACAATTCCCGTTCCGGAGAACCCACAAGCCGGCTTTCCGGAACGGTGATTGGATGGGTGCGCACAAATGGGAGGGCATGGATGGGGGTCCTCGTGCATCTTCGCTATTTCGAAGCGATTTTCTCGCTTCCGAAGCGGCATTTTGCGCCGCGACTTGGGCATTGGATTGATAGGGGGCCCTACCATTATATGCTGCCAAAAACTCAGCACCCTCAACTTAGGGTGGACGGTGCCTTTGAAGGCAGCGGCTCGGCAGATTTTCAACTTTGGGGTTTTGGCAGATTTGGGGCTATTCCGGCCCCGTGAATCACGACATGGACTCCCCTTAGCGCGAAAATGGGGAAAACCCCGTCTTTTGAAACCCCCATGAGACGAGGGCGGACGAGTGAGCCGTTTTTCTCTGCCGTCAGAGACGCAGAGTAGGGAGGGAGAGAGCGCTGGAACAGTTCTGGCCTATGAAGCTACGAGTGAGGGCGCGTTTTTTAGCGGCGAACATACTCGTCCGCACAAGGTGTTAGGGGAGCGAAAGGAGGAAGTTGAGCGGAGCTTGGCTCGCCCCCTGGCTTGCAGAATTCACATTTTCGGCCCGGGTTTGCTCTTTTGGTTCACTTGGAGAGCCTCCTATCCATCTATGTCAAATTCTAAGGTAGGTCTATTCTGCCGAGCCGCTCATTCGTCGCGTGCGGCCGTGGGGAAAATAGATGAGTTCACGCCATAGTCGACGAAAGCGTTGTAGTTTGGAGTGGATAATATCTGTAGCAACACTTATCAGCGTCCTGAACATGCTATACGCACAAGTGTAAAACTGCTCGTACAACTTCGGTCTTTCGCCCATGCTCTGTCCTACTCAAAGGCTAGCCAATCGCAGACGACGTGCTGACCAACTAGAGGCACGCCATTATGGCGAGCGGTCTTGTCTCCGCCAAAACTAAGCGATGTTTGGACGGTGGCCTACGGAACTCCAGGAGAAAGTACAATACTGGAAATCAAAGTCAGAGTGCACTCATCAACCCGGCAAGAAAGGAACTATTTTTTAGTGTAGAGCAAGGAAACGGGAACTACTTAAATTACAGCGACTCTGCACACCACGAGTTTGAAGACCGTAAGCATAGAATTTGTGACCAATTACCAATCCCCCGAATCACGGGGTAAAGTCCCGCTACCGAACCCGATGCTAAGAAAAGTTAGAGTATGGTATGGGATCGAATTAAGCAAAAATAGGTGCAATGATGAGTGATCAATTCCGCCCTTATTGCTCCGCCTCCCGCATCAGTGACTTGGATTGGCACGAGTGGGATCCCGAACGATATGATATAGGGTTGCAAGGGTAGAGGCCAAGGTTTCCAGTTTAGTACGTTTTCTGTCGCCTCCTCGTGCTCCAAGGAGGATGGCGCAAATGTAACGCACCCCCACGGATGGTATTCCTTTTCCCACTTCCTACCTTCTCTCTCTCCAAGACACGATGAGATCTACAACATTCCAGAGGTATATAAAGTACTCTTTCGAGTGAAGAAGTTCGGACTGATGCAATAACTCCCTCGCTTGTGATGTATTAAAATGAAAAAGCAAACATATTTTCCTCCAAAAAGAAATGAGTAACGGATATGATTATGTGATAACATTGAACCGACATACCGTCCGCAAACGTAGGCGAAGCTTTCTTGGGATCAAATGTGACAGGCTTCTTCGTGTCGACTTCGGTTTTCTTTTCAACCTCTTCGTATTGCCTTCGCAAATCAGCTTTCGTTTTCGGTTTTTTCGGCGGATCAGGAGGTACATATACTTCTTCCTCATCGCTTTCATCGCTTGATGCAATTCGACGTTTCGGCGCAAGAGGAGCTGCTCGTTTCGTGGGTGGCTTCCCCACAGCACTGACGCGATCCGCTGCCTTCACGGCTAAATTGGGGGTCAGTGTCTTGGTTGGCGGCTTTCTAGGAGGTGGCCTTTCTGGGCTTGACTCTTCCGAGTCGCTGCTCATCGCTTCTTTTCGTTGCGCAACGCGTGACGATCTCTTGAGTTGCTTAAATGGAACAGGGCTTGGAATTCTTTGCACCTGAAAAAATCCAAAGTTATTTTAAAAAAGGAAAAACACCTAGGCTGATACAAACCTCTCTGCTACCCCTTGACGATGACGATGACACAGGAGATGCTTGCATAGGTCGACGAGATGCTCCACTTCCATTAGTGGTGGCAGTAGGGACACTTTTGTTGCTGAGATCCGACCTTCTGTCCATGCTTCGATTCTTAAAAAAATCACTGGACTGTCATCTGAACCCTGTTTCAATCCCGAAAAAAAGTACAAGGCGATGATTGCAAGCATACCGCTGAAAATGAAGTGTTCTTCAAAGGAGGATCCGGAGATTTTTGTCGATTGAGTTTGCCTTCTTTCACCTAGAATGCAGATTTGCAGCGGAACGTAGTTCGAAAGCACTTCATTCAGTGAAGACACTAATAAACCGCAAACAAGCGCTTTTGCAACTATTGACGTAGTTAGGTCTACATACGATGCAGAACATCATTAGATAAATGTCATGTCAGACTATGATCCAATTACGTAAACTACAATTGCCACTTTATTCCTAATTATACTATTATGTAGAGCAAAACTAAATGAAGTAGCACAGAAAGATAAATGTACAGCCTGTCGCATGTAAAAACAATTCAGCCACCATGCTCACCTCCCTGAAAAGTAAAGAATTACGTACCTTTGGCACCTCTTCGGCTCTATTGCAACCTCGGAACATGCTGTTGGGATGATTGTCACAACACCAGTCTTCTGGTATTCCATTGATTTCATACGGAGCATGATACTCCACATGACGCCATTTGAGACATTTATCTCAAAACGAAGAGTCAAAATGTAAATTCGTATCAATATTGGAGTATGACTGCTTACCACATTGAATGGTATGCCCGATTCGCATGAATCGCTTTCGTCGATGTTCAGCCAAGTTCGTGCATTCTGAACTCCAGTCAGAATTCTCGTAACCGAAGTTTTTCCTAAGATAATGATATATGATGATCGTGCGGGTGAAAAACGTAAGAAACATGCTTACCAGAATGCTTTTATGCCGCTTGGACCTTCATTACCAGCTAAATTGATGTCTTTCCAGTATTGTTCCATGTGGTCGTTCATCGCCCGCAAAAGAGAAAGGTATTCCCTAAACAATTACAACAATCCTGACAGAAATCCGGAACATCACAAATAATTACTGTTAAACCTCACCTTTTATTTTCAAAGCTTTGCTTGTTATGGGTCGGCTCCAGAACTGAGTATGGTACGTCCACTACACCAACAACACCAAGACATTTCCTGGAATAGACTTGTTTTGAGTTATCGTTGTATGAAAAAATTAAAAGGAAAGGACGAGGAAATAGTCTTTAAGTAATTTTTATAAGGGGCTATCGCCAAGCATATAAAATACGTGAGAGGACACAATGTGAATAGAAGGTATTGCACAGAAAATAACTTTCCCACAAATACTTCCTCTTTTCAATACTTCCTTTTTCCCAATTACTTTCTCTTTCCCCCCCCCCCTTTCTCAGCACACCCCTCATAGTCGGTAGTAGCTCAACAACGACCAAGTGCAGAATGAGTCACAAACGAGTCGCCTTACAGACTAAACCTGGGCGAGACGCCCTTCCCTAACAATCCCACAGCTGCAGTGCGGCAGCTGCAGCCCCGATACTGCCACAAATAGATTACCAAAGCCAAATGTGTCAAGTCGCTACTCTTAAAAACGAGAAAGAAAGCGCTTGAAAGTAGACAAGGCACACGTAGAGTAGTCAAATGGAGTCAAATAAGCTATCGCAAAAGGATCAGTGTACTTCCGCAAAGCAATGAAAGTAAGGAAAAAATCTGAATAAATGCACCGATAGTAAAACTTACATCATAAGGTCATTCTTCTCCTTCTGAACAGCAACTTTTACGTACATTTCGATTAGGCGTCCATTATTATATAACATGCAACCATAACGATTCCTTGAACAATTGAAAGTCAACCACGAGCGTAGAAATAGAGCTGGCTGCTTACCTATGATGAATATTGATTCCATAATAAAAGCTCAGTGGAGCCGGGTTATTCTTGGCCTTCAGGGCCTGTGCGGCTCTTTTCTCCGCTTGCTCTTTCTTGGCTTCCATATCCGAACGAGCTCTGTAATGATTTTTATATTGCAAAATCATATTAGCTCAAAACACTCACTTAGCCAGCAATCGCTGCTCCATTCTGAGAGTTTTATTAGTATGGATATTTTGTCCACGATGCTTTGCCTCGAATTCACCCAGCGCAGAAGCCGACATCCGAAGCATCTCTTTTACTAAAACAACGATGTGATGATCATAAACTCCAGCTGACGTCGTCGTAAACTTGCCTTCTCGAACTTTCTGTTCGCATCTTTCATACTCTTTAAGAGCGCATGTTTTGAGATTTTTTGCAGCATAGCTGTACCTATAGGGGTATAGTAAAGTACTCATTATTCTGGTAGTCAATACTTTCTTCTTTCGTAGATAAATCTGGAATAGCAGCTATTGAATCACATAAGAGCCAAAAACAGAATCCTGCATTAATGCTTGAAGACATTTGATAAGGTGCAAAACAGGAAAAAACGGCCCCTAATCTCTCATGAGTTGTTTACTCGGCAAGTATATGATGAACGAGTTGTACATACAGTAAAAATAATTAACATTGCAAACAATGGTGTGGAAATGGTACTCACCTTCATCCTAGGATTGAGATACAGCACCGAAAGATAAGCGCGCAGGGAGTTTCTCTCTTCCTCTCTGAAAAGTAGAGTATTAGAAGATATTGGTACCGCATAATAAGCGCGCTCGTACGTAAAACATGCCCGAATAACTTCACTCACCTCTGCTCTTCAAAATTAGATAGCCGCACATCAAAAGGCTTCTCAAAGTTCAACTCAAATTCGCCAGTTTCTATTCGTCGAAGGTTGAACAGAACAATGAGTGTGCCCGATGGACCGCGAATGCGTTCGAATTGCTCAAACAGAGCGTCCTGTAAATAAGTCTGATAAGTAACTTGTATGCACCACTGTGGCAAAAGTAAGCCTCCAACATTAGGAAGACTTGAATCTACATAGCAAAATTTCACTCAAAAATCTCACCTGAGAATTAAATGGTGTGTGACTGTAGATGACATCCATTGATTGTGAGTGCTAGAAACATAATATTACCAATTATATAAAAAGAAGACAACCACAAATAGCAGACATAAACAAACAAACAAAAAACATAAACATGGCAAAAAAACTTACCATTTTTGCTTGCGTGTGCGAGTCGCAATACATAGCGCGTGTGCCACCCTCTAAAGTAAACGAAGCCACAGGCACAAATACCTAAAAGAAAAAATGATCACTAATATCGTTAGCTGCATAAAGACTGTAAAAAATACCTCTTTCAAAGCGTACATCTCATGAAAAGTTCGTGAAAGTAACAAGCACGTCAACAAACCATCCTTCTTGGTAAACATGATGAAGTCTTTAGCTATGCGCATAGCGCCACTGAAGTCGAGCAGCATTCTCATTGACGTTACATGAACTGATGATTAACTTACGATTTAAGTCCGTTACCATACTGTCCAATCATGCCTGGTTCCATCCGTTTGAGCGAATGACCGAACGACACGACTGATATTGCCTAAAATTGCTATTCATGACCTCATGCATAATTATACGACATTGAACTGAATGAAAATGACAGTACTTCTTGCCTATCCATGCCGCAGCCATCATCGAGAATTGATAGCATTCCTCCGTGAGCATCATTCGGCTCTGTAAATCACGATATCACTAGTCAAAGAAAAAAATCAAACTGTTTTTTGACGTAGACAGCGATCTTGAAAATTCCACTGAAGTTTTTGAAATTGTAAATGGCGATGAATTTACTTTGCGAACGCCTAGAGGTAGCCTTTCCAAGCTGGTTTGCTCAAACGATTGCTACAGTACTTTTTGGTAGACTGCATATTGTCCACTCGGCAGCTTACTAACTCATTCATGGCCATGGTGGTCAACTCCATACCCCAGAAAGCACTAGGGTTTGACATCAGTGTGGTAAAAAGTCCGGTGCTCAAATTGCATGGACGAAAAAAGTTGCCATTTCAGACATAACTGAAGATCAAAAATGAGAAGAAAAGAAGGAATAACTCTTAGAGCCACCGATATCTAGGTCTGTCGATGGCTAAGACTGCGTGTAAAATGAAGTCAACGATTTCGTGAATGCTAAGTGCAAGCAAAAGGCAATCCTAACTCACAATAGTCACATTAACATTTCGAAAAGTAAAAAATGAAAGCAGATACTACGTAAAATATATTTAGTCATACCGTAATCTATGTGTAAGTTGTTGGCCATAGCATCTCGAGAGTTGTCCACTAACTCTGCGATTGCACCGTAGACAAACTCATGAGTTGTACTAGAATCAAACATGGTAAATAACGAAAAGAAAAGAAGAAAACAAGAGAATAAGAAAACAAATGACTCGAAGACCCCACCTGTTCGTATGTAGATATTCATAACTGATAGTAGCCTTGTGAAATATAGATGTGTCGAACTCGGCACTCGGTTCCCTCGAACACGACTCAGAAGCCGTCATTCAACCCTGCTTCTGTACAAACTCAAGTGCAAATGCAATTTCAAGGCACAAACGTTCTCTAAAAAATAGATAATGGTAGTTGACAACCATACAAATCGCCAACGAGCAGTATGGTTCTTGCACATTTATTTTGTCACAGATATGCGTACGTTCTTACCCATAAAAGCAAAGTAGAAGAAGTTACAAACAGTCAGACGTAGTCGCTCACGAATAAATCAACGTAAATTCGGGTCAATTTCTCAAAAAATCAGAATCACAGCATTTTGCTTCATAAAGCCCTACAAGGTCAGGGAATAGATCAAGATAGATCACAAGCAGAAGTAAAGGACGTGGTTCTAGCTACTATAAACACTAAAAGTGATGCTACGCTCACCGCTACAGTGTACGCCACCCGTAACGTTTGAAAAAAAATCCATAGGCAACATTGCGCGGAGAGAAATAAATTATAAAACTCTGGAAGACTTGTTTGAGATGAAACTTACTACTTGACTTTTGTGATAAGGATTAATAATATGATTACTATGATCGCTATTGTCTGACAGAAAATGCAGTGCATTTTCTTGTCACCACGCTGATGTTTTTCAGCCTTTTTGACACTGTCGACAGCTCGGGAAACTCGTATTGAAGATTGTTCAACGTTGTAGTCGATTCTGAAAGAGTGCGCTGGTGTTTTGATAATGAAGTAGTAAACAAAAAATGGTGAAAAAATGGGAAATTGCAGAAACTGCGGTCCCGAAAAACCAGCAAGAGCTTGAGATTTACAAGTGATTCCTATACAAAGATGTCTTTTAGCTTACCGAGAAGCTCTGAGTCACGAAAGGGGTTCACGACAAATTATGAGGCCGATTGGAGATTATTCATTTGAGCTGAAGGAGTTACTACGTAGCAAATTGATTTAATAATTTCTATGCATGAAATCTGCTTCACATTAGGACAACACAGAGAGTTAACGAGTCAATCTACGGTTTGCAAGTCTCGTAAATAATTTAGCAGCCGTCGGATGACATCGGATGACAAAGTTTGATCAGCTGATTGTGCAAAACTGCAAATTCAGTCAATATAAGGAAAAGCAAAATAAAGGAATGTAATGGGCTTTGTAGAGTGCAAACGGATAGAACAGTATAAAAAGCGGTAACCAAAAACATTGAGAAGATTTAGTGCAGATGGATAGAACAGTATAAGAAGCGGTAATCAAAAACACTGAGAAGACTTGCACGTACCTATCAAGTATTGTTCCTTGATCGACAACCATTGATGATAGGTCTTTGAACAGCGAATTCAACTCTCTAATAGATGAATTTACAACAAGAACCTGGAATAAGTCAATTGATCGTCTGGAAAAGCTATGGTCTGAGAATTTTCAGTAACCTTGCTTACGCTTTCGACACACCTCTTTTTCCCGTTCCTTTACTGTTTGCTCATTCACCATCATCGCTTGTATTTGATCCATGGTATATTCGTGTGATGGCGTAACATCCACCAGTTCCTCCCATTGGAGATCGTCAGTTTGCCCGGTGGTTAGCAAAAAATTGTCCACATTACTAGTTCTGTTCTGAAGCGCGTGTGACATTACGAAGAGGAGAAAAGCCCATGGCACAATCAAACAACTACCTTAATGTCCTTGAGATATTTAGACTGCCTCGTTCGAAAATCGTTTGTCAATTGGCTGAGAGTAAAAATAAGCGCCGACACCGTATTCTCCCGTAGCCTCCTCTCGGATGCGTTCTCATTTCGTGAACTTTGATGAGAAATCATGCTGTAATCGTGACATAAGGCACACATTGTGAGCGTTGAGCACTGCATAGAAAAAGAAATAAAGATAATACCAGAAACGTTGTACACAGAAGTAATCAAAGCAAACAGCTATAAAACAGTGTAGGACCTTATGCAAGACATTACTTGATTAATCGTTGACAATGGGACATCATAGATGTGATCTGCTCGGTAGTACTTTCCATTTGACGTTCTTCCGCCTCAAAAGCTTCATCGCCAAAGTTCGGCCTCGATATGTGCTTTTGTTGAGCATTAGCTAGCTCTTCCAAACATCTCCGCACCCTAAGAATACATCGATGTGATGAATTCGAATTCAAAAAAGGTGTCAGTACAAAGAAAAGTGTATGCACTACAGAAAAAAAAAGTTGTTGATATCCTAACGCACAACGTGTCTGAAAACCAATCTGGACTATGGTCCAGTCAGGACCATTTAACTAGTACATTTTTTAACGAGAACAAATGTTTTATCAGCCTTTTGACTTCAAGTGACTAGAATCAGAGGCAGAGAAAAAGTACCAAATGAGATGACGGATTATAAAACAGATGCGAAATATAAGTAATGTTTTTAGAATTTTGCTAGATCAGATTCAACAACGCCGCCCGAACCTAAAAATGTTCAACTACGGAGTTTATCTCATTTTTGCCGCACTCCTCTTCCGCCCAGTTGCGATAAGTATATCGGAGTTAAACCATAAAGGCGCCAGACAAACCTTTATAGTCTTCTCTAGTCTTGTACCACACACGTGAGAGAACTTGTACTGCAGTATCTACCACTACACCACCAATTTGAGGTCAAGGAACTATCCCGCTGTCGGCAATTCCCTTCTGGCCGCGATAGCAGAAGAAGTGAACGATTATTTCAATTCAAACTAGATTATCAGCATATCTAAGAGTTTGATGTACGTAAGAGTTAGGTCTTGGACATACCCCCGAAGAATTTCAGGCGGCGCGATGGCAATCTTCCACATGCTTTCAGACCCATTACTCGCAGATAAGTTGATGAAGTCAACTATATTCTCCAAATCCAAAAAAAACCATAATTTTCTGTCGTATGAGTCACTGAGTATCTGCTTGATGCAACAAAACAAAAGCATTGAGCAACCAATCATAAATTACAAGAAGATAACAAAGTTAATACAATCAAAGATAAGAGGCAAAAGCAACACAAAAACATAATAAGATAAAGCGAACACATGTCGAGAAAGTCAAGCAAAAAGGAGAAAGAAAACTACCCACCTTCCAAATTCAAACTCTACTTCGTCGCAAGTGTGAATCCACATTGGCTGTTTGGACTCGTCATGTTCACCGCCTTCTTCTAAGCTCACCAGGCTCATTTTTTCTTCTGCAATTTTGTTATTACATAAACATAGACTGTCAACCATTACAAAAAAAAAGATCATAAGTGTAAAAAAAAGCATTGTAGATAATAGCGATATAAAAGGTAAAGAACGATAAACATGAAACCTTAGATACCTGCTATATCCTTGCTTCTGTTACTACTAGGCATTCCACTATTCATGTAGATGAACTTATTCTGTTGAGAATTCGAGCGAAGAAGTGTGAATACTTCGCTCAGATTCCTCGTCACACCCAATGCGGGTTCCTTGCGCGGTCGAACCTCCATTTCTACAAAGAGACATTAGTATAATACACTGAGGTCGGATCATTCAGCTGATGAGTGAGAAATAAATGTATTAAAATGTGAGCAATCCACACAAAAGCAAAGCCAAAAAGCCAGTTTAAGACTTGAAAAAACCTACGAACTCTTCGAAGTAGAAAAAGAAAAGAAAAAAAAAACCAAATCAACCCTATGGAATAGAAATGAGTCGAAATAAATCAACCGTGCGCAATCCAAATTCAAAACACCCCTATACGAAACAGCGTGACGCGGAACAAAATAGAGCAATATTTGAATGAAAACATGTTCAAAGTAAACAGAATCACGCGAATAGTTCAAAATTAGCTTGCCATACACGGATGGACGTTTGCAAGTGTGATGTCGACACAAAATCGTTATTTGACGCCTGGCACTGGAACGACGCCAGCACGTCCTCCGTGCTGGCGCCCACTTCGTCAAACCTCATCGGATGTGAAGAGGCTTCAGCACCTGTCGCAGCCGAATAACCCCTCATATTATTCTTCACGTGATTCTAAACTTTTATTGATCCTTTTCAAAACTGTCTGAATGTTTACATATTTGCTTCCGCCCCCTTTCTGCCCTGCTATTCATAGAACTACTATTATTGTTATAGTGTTCATCCTTTTCTCCATTATGGAATAGAATCTGATCTCTCCCCCCCCCACATAATCTGAAAGTAACCAACACTTTCAAGTCTTTGTGCGTTACACACTTTATAATGCTTCTGTTGGAAAAGGGACGAATTCTGATCCATCAAAATTTGGGTTTGTTCATACTCCACTATATGTGGGTAAATAAAGTGTGTATTTACGTACGATTCCACTTCAGCATCCACTTTACGCACTGCATGTTCCTATCTGGGGAGGTTATGGTAAAATCTCATCTAATATTTAATATATTCCAATATATCCTTCCAATCTATCCATTCAATATATATAGAAACGTAAGCGCAATTCAAATGTATAAAGAAACGTAAGCGCAATTCAAAAATCTGAAAATAGCGGGAAAGCGCGTAGCGGTCGGAGACGAACGCTCTTCCAAATAGCGCCTTTAGATTACTGGTTCATTATAGCACCTTTAGATTACTGTTTCATTAGTCTTCTACTAAACCTAGGGTAAGAATTCAAGTGAAAAATGGTCTAAGAACAAACAGCAACGGAAGTTTAGTGTAGACAAACATCTTCTTCCATCTGTTTTTTTTTTTTGAAAAGCTTTGTATTTTCTCATTCCTTTCAGTTATCAATGCATAACTGCAAGTTTTGGTGTTAACTTCCTTGTTTGCTTTTCATAGCTTTTGTAGAAATTCTCATCTCTATCCACAATGCATGTTATTGTTGTTTTCTGCAATCACTTTAGAATCGCTTTTGTTGTGGTGTCGTTATCAAATCTAGAACTATCACTTGATTCCAACAAAGTTTTGTCAACATCTCAAAGCCCAGGCCTTTGTGCACTTGCACAGCTTATTTGCGCTTCGCCGCTGTGGGCGAGAGCAGGGCCTCTAAGCGCTGCGTTTTTCCGCAGCAATCTGCTACTGGAAAATTCTACGATTTTATCATCCTCATTTTGGCGCTATTCCATCTAAACTATTCTATTGTGTCTTTGCTAATTAAAGGCAGCGGCTCGGCAGAATGACAAATTTTGGATATTCATCGTTTTCGGTTCCGGATGAGCTAAGTCCAAGACTATGCTTTGCAGCTTCGGAAGATACCATTAACCCCCTTTTCCAGAAGGGAGAAGTGCTATTTGGGCGGACGGCGTATGCCTGCCCACGAGCGCGATTGGCTTGTGGGTACGGTAGGTACGCTGTCTGAACTCACAGGCCAATCGCGCTCTAGACAGCAGGATACGCGGTCCGCTCAAACAACACTTTTCACGTCTGGAAAAACGGGTTGTTGGTATGTTTTGAAGCTGCAAAGCACAATCTTGGACTTAGCTCGTACAGGAGAACCCAGAACGATGAATATCCCAAAGTTGTCATTCTGCCGAGCCGCTGCCTTTGAGTCAGTAAATATGGAAATTATTCATTGCTTACTTATCGGCAGCTTTTGATAGTTGAATGGGCTGTCTTCATCAAGCGAGCGTGAGCAGTGCCCTCAATGAACTCACGTGTCAGATCATATCACAGAAGCTCATACGCACTTTATTCATACCTGAAAGCGCCCCTGAAACTTTCGAAAGTGCATTCCCGTCAATTTTGCGATTGTCAAAATTGATGCACATATTCAACACAACATCACAGGACTGACCGCGTTGCATCGCAACGAAGTGCGGCTGATTACACGATTTTCAACTATAAGTAGGCCTACCGTTCATACTTTTAAGAGCGCCTTGTGCTGATTGTGCGCGTGCCGCGCGCCTCTTCTAGGTGGCGATGTTCCACATTCTCTATTGCGCCTACATCCAGCATGGCTTCAGGATCTTTTCTTTCTTGATTACCGTTGTGCGTAGAGCCGGGGCGCCCACCAGCTTCCGGCAAGTTTATCCAAAGTGCTTGTGTCGCGAACTGCGGCATTATTCTTGTCTGACTATTGTACTGGGTAGAGTTCATTTTGAGTACATCACAAGACTGTTTTGATTTTGAATTTAGTGGCTCAGTACTCTTTTGGTAGGAGTCTCATCACTATTTCTCTAGTAAGACGCCAAAGACTAATTACCTTGTTCTTTTCTGGTTTTTCAGTCCGGTTTTTCTATGAACTCTAACTCTTGACAGCTTTCAGTTGCTTGAACGTCAGAGCATTATTCTGAAAAGGCACATTATATTTATTCTCATTCATGGTCTAACTGAAAGAATTTCGCAGGTGACTTATTTTTGCTTGTGAATAGAATGTAAAATTTTTATAAATTCGAATAGCTTCGACGAAATATTTTCCGGGTAAGAATACCGGCACGCCTCCGCTTTTTGAAATTTTGGTCCCATAGCTCGCAAAAATCTTGGAAAGCATCTCAAAAACTTTCATTGAAGGACATGGCCTGCGACGCGCAGACTTCATTCGAAAGTTTTTTGTCCATCTTTTTCCTAGAAGAAACTTCGCGGACTGGCGGTGCTTTCGAGGCATCTTCGGTAAAAATTTGGCTTTCGGGCTTTTTTCAGAACTTGAACCCTCTTGATGTGCTGAGTCTAAGATTGTGCTCAGGCTTGCATCTGGGACAGTGGCGGTCCCAGAAGGGGGAGGGGCACCTCCTTCAAGAATGGGTCGTGAAATTTCTGATTTTACATGCCTTATAAAAATGGGCAAGTGACTTGTTTTTACGTGTAAATTTGTAATAATTTCTTATATTTTCTACAACTGAAAAATTATTTCTTTACCAAGCTCATTTGAAAATTCACATGAGCTTGGTAAAAAAAATTCTTTCGGGGGTATTGGCACTATACTTGCAAGCTCTGGCAACATTTCCATTATTTCAAACTCTTTTCTGTTGTTTTTTTTTTCTGAAATTCTCATACCTTTTACACAGTGCAGACAAGGCCTTGAAGTTGAAGTAAGCCTGTAGTCAAAAAAGAAGTTCTTGATTCAACAAGGAAATATCTGGATCTTGAAGTTATCCATTGTATTTGGAATTTCCATGTGCACAATATGAAGCCACTCCTATATCGTGTTCAACCTACTCTTGTTGAAATTGTTGGCAATTCTCTGCACAATGTATTTAATATACAAGTAACGAAATTTTGCTGCAGTATGATCGGTCATGCTGTAAATTTTGTGGTTAGCTTTCAATAATTCTTTGAATTTTAACGTTTATACATTGACACTCTAAGACGATCTCTGAAGATTATTAGGTTTTCCTAACAACTAATGCAGCTAAGCAGCTGGTATCTGGAGATTTTGTGCTTAATCTTCTGACCTTGCAAAGCGCACTTAGCTGTATTTACACAATGCCAGCAGAGTTTTTTATTTTTTATGGACTGGATTCTCGAGAGGTGGTGGAGATACATCAGCTTCCTCCTCGTTCTGCTCAAAACAAACGTCTTGCGCTTCTTATGCGGTTCTCAGATTTTCCTCACCATGCTTGTCTACTAATGAGCATAGTTCGGAAATTCAGGTTTCGCATCTACCTAGAATCTAGTTTTCTGTTCATTACTGGTAGCAAAATCCAGACTCATTATACAGAAGTTTTTCTTTCAAGAATTGACAGATGTGAACTCATTTGTTTCCATTTGTCTTCATCTGTAGCGCACTATGCATGCATCAAAAAATAGCATTTGAAAATGTGAAAGTGAATCTTTCCGTTTAGCCTATGCCTTCCCCCCCCCCCTTGTCCTCTCCCCTACGCCCCGAGAATAGGTCGGAAAATCAGACTACCTGAGTTATAATGTTCATTGCCTTTTATGCCAAAAAATTCAGATTATCCATGTAGAAAGGATTGCTGGGTTGCATGCAAAAGAAATATTCTGAGGCCAATTTGAATTTTGAAATAATTCTAGAACTCAGTTATTTACAAATATGAACAAGCCACTGTAGAATCTTTCGGATTCATCCAAATAGTCTTGTAAGTAGAAAATCTCCACGAAGTTTTCTATAGTTTTTAGTCTGACAAATTCCGATGGGTTTTTTTATTTGCAGAGCACGTGGCATCAAGCTAGAGCAGGGCTCGGCACAGGTGGCTTACAAGCAAGCTGGGTATCGTTATCGGGACGAAAAGCAAAGGGGGTTTCGTTTTTGTGAGCGAAGACATACGGAAAATTGACGACGGCGACCTTTTTTTTTAGTCGACGTTTCGTCTTTTGGGGGATTTTCGGAAATTTTTCAGGTTTTTAGAAGAAATTTGGTTCAGGGTCAAAGGGGACTTCGTAAAAATTCCCGAAAGTCAAGGGAGACTTCGTTTTTTCCATTTTCATCTAGCCACCTCGTGCCGAGCCCTGAGCTAGAGAACTTGATTGCTTCATCCGAAATGAATTTTCGCAATTCCAAGAGAGTGCATTTGTTGCTCAGGCTGCTTTCAAGAAGCACGCACATCATGCATACAAAATGAAGCTATGCAAACGTTCATATGCGCCTTCTAGAATGTGCCAAAACCTTTAACACTGGATCATTTGAATTTTCAACACGTGTGAATCATGTCGTGTTCTGAAGTGGTGCCTTCGTTTTTACGATGAGCATTTCAAATTGTTATAGCCTGGCAACCGCTTTGAATCTCGAGCTGTTGGCGTTCCATTTTGCTTCCCATGTCAACGGACTCCAAGGGTTCGTTGTATTAGAATTCTCTACATTGTTTTTGTGAGGCAGGTCTTTACAGCTTCTGGTCTGCGGTTTACGCTATGTACAGAAGATGATGACGACATTATTTGTGTTGACCACAAACAGTCGCTCTTCTCACAGGTTAGTCTCACCTATCCAACTTTATAATGACATGGAGATCTCCGCAGGGACAAGCATAGCATAGCAGTAGTTTCGAATTTGCACCGGTCTCATGTTGCTATGATTTGCTTCATTTCTCTAAATTTTCTGTCTTTCGGCCATCATGCCAAATTTCTGTCTGCTATGACATCCCAGATGTTGACTGCGTCCAGAGTTACTCATGTACCGTTGCCGTGTCAGCGCCATGCTAGCGCCGTTCCAGTAGTCCAGTGCTTAAAGGCAGTGTCCGGGCAAAATCTCGATTTTGAGATTTTGTGCTTACTTGGGCCTATTCGCTACGCTGAATCCGAAAATGCACATTGTAGAGCGCGAAAATGGCGAAAAACGCCTCTAACATAGGAGGGAAATGAGCAGGTGGGCGGGGTCCTCCCCACTGCGAATTCACGTTCCCGGCTTCCGGAGCGACCTTCTCGCTTCCGTTTTCAAGTCAGTCATTCGCACTTGGCCGGTAGCGATGTTAGAAAGGCTAGCGGAATCGAGAAAATCGCTCCGGGAGCTGGGAGCGTAAAATCGCACTGGGGAAAGCCCCGCCCACCTGCTGATTTCCCTCCCATATTAGAGCCCTTTTGCGCCGTTTTCGCGCTTTCCAATGTGGATTTTCGGATTCAGCATGGCGAATAGGCTCGTATAAGCACAGAATCTCAAAATCGAGTTTTTGCCCGGACACTGCCTTTAAATTGGCTGGTGACTGTGAAACTTGAATGGAACTGTTGCCACGCGGGACTCGTACGCACGCACTTTTAAGCAATCTCAAACTTGGGTAACTAAACTTTATTACTAATGATCAATCAAATGTGTTAACGTAAACAATAAACATAAAGGCTAATCCTAGAAGGCAGCTAGAGAGCGTGCAGCCAAATTGGCCACAAAAGGTGCGAAATATATAGGGCTTATCAAACGCAGTGTCGCTTGCATCAGCATCTCCACCCTCGCGCTGGACTCTGCGTCTCTTACGCGTACACGCTCTCTAACCACTCCCTATCGATTGAGGTTCCGCCCTTTTTCACGCTCGCCCTGAGAAAGTGATCAAAGAGCATGTTTGTGGAAGAGATACAGAGTCCAACGCGAGAGTGGAAATGCTGATGCAAGCGACTCTGCGTTTGATAAGCCCTATATAGGACATTTGAAAAATCGTGACGATGACGCGACCGCTCGCGACACGCACGCCACTTTAGAAAATCGCGTTTTCTTGGCTTTCGTCCCTAGTCGAATGGTTTTTGCTTACATATGATATTATTTAGACTTTGGAACTGACTGAGCTGGTACATTGAGGTGCTGCCTTCTTGTACAAGCGTTTTATGCTTTTGTGAGCGCAAAGTCCGCAATAAAGTCCGTCGTCACGATTTTATAAGTGAACTATCTACTACCGAGCAAACAAAAGAATTTGCAATACTGTGACTGTGATTAGAGCAAGCAAAAGGAATTGAAAATAGTCTAAGTGCAAATAAAACAGGCAGAGGAAATTAAAATACTGTGATCTTTATTAGAGACTGCGATTTTGCGCGCTGTGTCTCAAAGGGGCTTTGTCATAAGGATAGAGAAAACCATAAATCTAACAAGAAAAATAAAAAGAGAAGAATAAAAGAAGTTCTTATATGCAACTATTGAGCCTGCAATATCCTACTATCTATGTACCTCTATATTGAAGCATCGAAATGATAAACAAACTTTCTCGGGCTCGTGAAATTACTGATAAGCTGCTTCGTGAGAATATTGTTGTTGTTTCTTCAACCGCATTTCCCGCAGCTCAGAGAACGATGCGAACGGTTAGTTCGTATAGCGCCGTTCTGGAACTTCGACTTGTCTGTCTCAGCATGGCGCTGCATGACGTTAAGGTAAATCTTTGTACGCCGCCTAAAAAATACGTCTTTAATTTCAAAAACTCTCAGCGATAGCAATGGCATATTAGGCTTGCTAATGACGGCTTGCAAAATCCAGAAATCTCTCTTTTAGGCTTTTGCAACTCTGAACGAGCTTCGCTGTAACGGACAGCTATGCGATATCACACTAGTTGTGGAGGGGCGGAAGATCAGCGCACATAAGGTACGATACATCTGCTATGTTATGCTCAATATTTTATCTGCTCATTAACCTCACAACCAATGGCGGTCCCAGAATTTCCGTTCGGGGAGGGGACACGGCGACAAAAATTTTTCCGAATAAAGGTGCATGGCGTGAACCATGTACTCCGAATCATCTCCTGGGTTGTTTCTCAAAATTTCTGCCGGCCTATAAGCGGTTTTTAGAACTTTTTCACAAGGTTGATTTGAATTTTAGAAAATTTGAAAATTATTTTGATTATCTACTAGTATGAACAAGTCACTAGAATCCTTCTTTTATTGCTCTATAATTTTAGGTAGTACTAGCAGCTTCGATACCTTACTTTCGAGTGATGTTTACAACGGAAATGTTGGAAGCGAATCAGACTGAAGTCGTTTTACAAGGTATCGTTTTTTTTTTCGAGATTTGGATTTCTGAATATCTTCACTCACAGATCTGGACTATGAAACGTTGGACCAGCTTGTTTCATTTGCGTATTGCGGCGAACTTCGCATATCTGCTGGTAATGTACAGTCAATAATGATTGGAGCAAATTTCCTCCAGGTACGTGCATCACTAATTGATATTTAATTGTCTGTGCGTGAAAAATGCTTATTTTAAGCTGGACGGTGTTGCAGAGAAGTGTGCTGAATATCTTCAGACACGTTTGCATACCTCCAATGCTCTTGCCATTCGAGCATTTTGCGCAGTATTAGGTTGTAGGTAGGGCTAGCTTGCTTTTTTCCTGGTTTTTTGTTTGAACATCACCAATTACAGGACAGTAGTAGCAGCAGCAGATCGTTTCATACAGAAGCACTTTATGTCAGTGAGTCGTTCTGATGAATTTCTACAGCTTCCTGTGGATGATGTGGTGGAATTGCTGTGCATGGATGGTCTATATGTTGAATCAGAAGAGGCTGTGTTTGAAGCAGCATTCCGATGGATTCAGCATAATTTGGAAAAGAGAAGGAAGTATGCCTCAAGGTGGGTGTTGAAGTTCTGCTCAATGTGGAATTGACTTCTCTTATTCATTCGGTGAAGATTTTTGACGATTGAGTAGACCACTTTTTGGAGAGGTACTGTAGGTCTACGATAGATATACGGTAGGCGTACGTTTTGTGCGGGTGTAGGCCCTTCTGAACCTGCCCCAATCGCGACGGCTATAAGAGGTCAGCGCTAATTAGAGGTCACTCCATGATTGGCTAGCTCGCGGGAGCGAGCGGCTGACCTGGGCAGACGCGCTGCGGAGGCGGACGAGTTTCACATCGCTGGCAACCTACTCCACAATGAGATCCTGGAGGTAATTCTCTAGAAAATTCCTAAATTCCCCAAATTCCCTGGAATTCAATAACTTAGTTATTCGCTCTACTCCACACTACTTGAATCGCCGGCCACTTCCTAAGATGGTATGTTTTTGATCTATGAGACATTTTCAATATCTTTTTCGACTTATTTCACTGTTTTTTTTGTTCAATTGCATGCTCTATTCTCCTACGTCTGCCTCCTTGCAGCATCATCTAGTCGCATTCAATTGAAATGTGCACTACATGCATGCCAGTAGGGAAGCATACGTTTTTTTATGATGAGTATGAAGTTTTTTTCTACACCGTCCATATCAAAAACGCAATCAAATAAAATGCATCACCTTCATTTGGTAGCGTGATCTATATGGATTGATTTTGGTAGCGACCTTTTCTTTGCTGCACGCATCATGCTCTTTATAGCGTAAAAATTTCAAATGCACGTTCGTAAATTTTACTAGGAATGAGAATTTTAAGGAGATGATAATTTTTTTGGAAAGCTACAGAGATGCACTAAGTGTCAGAAGGAAATACGCATCTGATAACGAATAAGCATAGATCACCAATTTGAGTTATAATTGGCCTTTATAAAGAGTTGTTACACAAACTTTGATTACGTGGGCTTTCCTCAATAACATCAAGCAGCTCACATTAGCAATATGATGTGACGATGCACGACGTCATAAGGATCGCACACACAAGGGATTTAAGTGGAAAAAAAGCAAGAAAAACAAAGTCCCGAAAGAATTCAAAGGAGATTCATGAGAAGTTTTTTATGAATCATGTAAATGAAAAGACTTTGAAAATGTCTCCTAATTCATAAACATACTGCTGGGAAGTAGGGCTCAGAATATCAGACATTCAGAGGATAGTAGCTGTGTTTGGTTGAAGGTCAGCATGATTGTCTTGCATTCCACAATGTAAGAACCGCACGAAAAGAGGTGCTGATTTTCGAAAATGCGAGCCTTTCGCGGAGCACTCGTCCGCGGTCATCGCAGCGCATGCGCGCGCGTCCTAGTTCTAGATTACTGTAGGGGACGGTGGGTTCAGAAGGGCCGTCTCCCGTTTTGTGCGTTTGATTGGTTATTCGCGTAAGTCACTTGCATAAAAAAGATATGCATCGTTAGTAGCACCTTACATGTGTTTTCAATTTGCAAACTGAGAAGCACTAGGGTTGCTAATTTGAGATAACTTTCATCTCATTTACAAAAGTCGGTCTGTCGGTTTTGAGCGTGACGCATTTACAGTATACCTACCGTACTCCATTCCAAACATTTATTATAGGGCATGATGTTACATTTCTAAATGATTACTATCGTATGCAGAAATGGCATCCGGCTACATATAATTTGCAGGTTACTCGCTTGCGTGCGTCTTCCGCTTCTCAAACCATCGTTTTTGGCAGACGAAGTTGCTGGGCATCAATTAATTCGTGGTGATCTGGCATGCCGAGATCTAGTGGGTTACATCTTAGCTAGACTTTTCAAGCTAATGAAAACACGCTTTATCCAAGGTGGACGAGGCCAAAGACTATCACCTCATACCCGAGCGCAGACCATTCCTGCGTTCATTCCGCACCAAAGCTCGTTGTTGCAACGATGTACCAGGCTTGATGTTTGCCATAGGTAACCCGCATGGTTTACAAAATTTCACAGTTTTCAAAAATTCTTGCGACTTTTCAAGGTGGTTTATCGACCGGCGGCGACTCACTGTCAACTGTAGAAATGTACGATCCATTAACAAAACGATGGACTCCGGTACGATCTATGACGAGTTTCCGTTCCAGAGTTGGCATCGCAGTGCACGATCGCAAGGTACGCTCATTTTGCAGTTATACCGTCATTATGATTATCTCCTTTTTGAGATCTACGCCATTGGCGGGTTCAATGGGCATGACCGTCTGAAGATTGTGGAATCCTATGACTACAACAAAAACGAATGGACTCCTGTAAGACAGCACTCTTTATTTTTGTTTGCACTGTGTGATAATGAGTTCTCTAGGTTGCTCCCCTGACCAAAAAACGCTCAGCATTGGCAGCAGCGTTCTTTAACGGTAAATTGTACGTTTGTGGTGGTTATGATGGCATCACCAGTCTGGCTACGGTAGAGGTAGGTTCCATTCCAGTTTTTGTATAGTTTACTTTCTTGAGCAAATGTGGTACAGTGATGTACTGTGTTATCAAATCCTTTAGAGTGGGTACCATCGCCAAAAATCTCAAAGATAATAGGGACATGCACTTTGTTTTCCACAAATTTTGGTGCACATCCTTTTCTTGAGAGCTCCACTCTGAAAATGCTAGTTTGTCAGTTGTCAATGTTGAATTTTCTAGAAAATTATATTTCTGGTTTCTTACCCACCCTGTTCCTTATTTTTTTCTTCTTTTTTTTCAAATGTTTTCCTCATGATGTTTGGGAGCGAAAGTAAAAGTATTCAAGAAAAAAGATTGTATCTATATTGTTATTTTAGCATAGTAGTATACGTCCATTTGAGGTGTATTGCCCAGAGAAGAATACTTGGGAGTTGGGAGAGGCAATGACCAAACAACGAAGTGCTGCTGGAGTAGCCGTTCTCGACGGTTATCTTTACGGTTTGTTTTCCGTCGCTACCGCTTTGCTCTTTGTACTTTTAAACATCGCAGTGTGTTTATGTGCAGGAGTTGCAATTAGAGCGGGGGAGGGGGAGGGGGCATCTTTTGGTTGCAACTTTGTTCAATGTTATGATGCAATCACCCCACTCTTTCAGTGATGGGTGGTCATGACGGAATGTCGATTTTCTCGTCAGTGGAACGATTCTCACCAGAGAAAGGGCAATGGGAAGCGGTACCGTCGATGTTGTCGAAACGATGCCGTTTAGGCGCTACGACTCTGAATGGGAAAATCTACGTTTGTGGAGGGTTAGTCACTCTATGGCTCTTGCAAAATTTGGGTCAGATCTCGATATAGGGTGGTTTTTACACGTTTTGCTTGTTTCAAGTGAATCAATTTTTGAAATTACACTAGACCAAGTAAACTTTATTGAAAGAGAGTACTCTTTCGGATTATTCTTATTACTAGCTGGCTTACCCGGCTCCGCCGTATCCGGACCAAACTTGGCACACATACACTTCGGGCCCCGGCGGGTGTCACAGTCCACTTTTCGTTATCGATCGATGTCGATTTTACCGATTTTTATCGATTTTTTTGCAGAGTTCACCTACAGGGCTAGGAGTTGGCACAGGGGGGGAAGTGAGCATGGGGATTTCGAATACAATATTAGTTTTCAGGATCGTCCATTACTTTTATCGATTTTATCGATTTTTTTTTGTGAAGTTTGACCTGCGGGGCTGGGAGTTTGCACAGGGGGGTAATCGAGCATGCTGATTACGAACACAATATTAGTTTTCAGGATCGTCCATTACTTTTATCGATTTTATCGATTTTTTGAAAATTTGAGCTAGGGGGCTGGAATTTGGCAAGGGGTGTAATCGAGCATGCTGATCACCCCCCTTGGGGGTGATCAGCATGCTCGATTACCCCCCTGTGCCAACTCCCAGCCCCCTAGCTCAAACTTTGCAAAAAAAATCGATAAAATCGATAATAGTAATCGATAATCCCGAAAACCAATATTGTATTCGGAATCCCCATGCTCGATTACCCCCCTGTGCGAACTCCCAGCCCCGTAGCTCAAACTTTGCAAAAAAATCGATAAAATCGATAAAAGTAATCGATAATCCTGAAAACCAATATTGTATTCGGAATCCCCATGCTCGATTACCCCCTTATGCCAACTCCCAGCCCCGTAGGTGAACTCAGCAAAAAAATCGATAAAAAACGATAAAATCGATATCGATCGATGACGAAAAGTAGCCTATGACACCCGCCGGGGCCCGTAGTGTATGTGTGCCAAGTTTGGTCCGGATCGGTTCAGAAATGGAATTTTCTATTCGGAACATACGTACATACAGACAGACATACAGACAGACAAACAGACATTCAGCTTTATATATAAGATTTGTTACTCCCGGTATATCCTTGCATATTCAGCTACGATGGAGCGCAGTTTTTGAACAGCGTGGAATGCTTTGATCCTACTACCATGCGTTGGACGCCCGTAACTCCCATGAACATCAAACGAAGCCGGGTCTCTCTTGTTGCCAATGCAAACGCCATATACGCCATCGCTGGGTATGTTAAATATCATTTTTTGATGTAATCCTTCAGATTCTTTGTTCTTTGCTTCTTGACATTTTTGGGTATTTTGACTTAGACAGGTGGCCCTTTCCTTGCCCCTAATTGTCTCAATTCTCCTTCACTTGACGACAAGAATATTCTGAATTCCTGAGTACTAGTCCATCGAATTTCAGCTATGATGGCATGTCAAATCTGTCCTCGATGGAAGTCTATCGAGAAGAAACGGATCAGTGGGAACTAGCTACTCCATTAGGATCTCACGAAGGCGGGGTGGGAGTGGGTGTGATCCCGATTCCACCTAATATGCTTTCCGGCTAGTATAGCTGGTAGTGGAGTCACTTTCTTTGTGTTGTACGTAATTTTAGCATGTTTTTGAAATTTGTTGTAGTGTTTATGTTGTTCAGCTCAAAGCTACTCTGTGAGTACATCGGGCACTTTACGAACACTATCTGTAGTATCAACTACCATTATTTTTCGAAGTGTCAGCATAATTTGTACAAATTTTTTTTCGTTGTGTAGTTTGTTGTTAAATATGTGTCTGCTCCTTTTCAAGGGTTTACCATATGTATTTGTGCACATCACAGCGCCATAATCTTTATCTTTTTCCTTACGCAAGTGTAACCAGTGATAGATTACTTGCCGGTTTTTCTAAGTAGTTCAAAGCATTTCTAATTATTTGTAGTTCTTGACATTTTTTATCTGTAATTAGTTAATAAATATCGAAACAGTTCAAGGCTCTTTGAACGCGTTTGAGGATTTTCGTCCCACCCACCCTTGCGAGCATAGCGGAGGGTGTGGTGAACCCATGCCAATTCATCCGGACAAATTTCTGTCACCCTAAAAAGGGAATTTTTGTTACACCACTGATAGACAACGGGTAGGTGCCTGTATCACGATACTACGTCTTTCACCGGATCAGGACAATGGCATAATGCGCGTCGCTTTGACGTGTTCTTGCGTGACGTTTGGTTAAATTTGTTGGTGAGACCACTATGGTGCATACTATATGCATTCCCTTTTCATTCTGCAGCAATGCTTTACGCGCCGCAGATGTGACGCGAACCACAGCGCTGCGGAAGTGCGACTTCACTTCAACGCTTCAGCCTGATCATCTCAGACAATCGCCTGTGACATCCGCAGGAGATCCGCCCACAAAATGGCGAAATCCAGTGCACCGCCGAGAGTCATCATTGGTTGTATCGGTGGTTCGTAGACTTTATAGTAGCCTAAGGCGAATGGCGCTTTTTGTAGTGTGTTATATAGAACACATAAGCTGTAGTAGCTTTACTGGGACAGACGACGTCCAACCAATCACCATACCGAAGAAATTGCTCTGCGGGTTTTATAACGGGGGTTTTTCGCGGTTTCCGCTGATTTTCAACTTGATATTCGGAATCAGGGGTATGAGAAGGCTTTGGAACCGCAAAAACATGGAGGTCGAAATTTTGGTTGGACGGTGCCTTTAAAACACCGCATAAACACAATTAAATCGGCTAAGAAGGGCTAGATAGACACATACAAATATCAAGGAATTCCTGCGACTTTACATAACAAGTACAACACACATCTGTGCAGTGAAGCTACATGTTGTGCCGCCTCAAGGCTACATTGGCGTCTAAGCCAAGGAGGAACAGATAAGATTGTACGAGAAGCCGGATATATCGGCACACGGGGTATCTTCAAGTTCGGACATCCCGTCATCGTTGGGACCAGAGTGGATGTGGGGCCCCATGTTTTGATGCCTCTAAGATAAAACGGCTCAACTGTATTTGAGTTATGAAAGATTTGGTATATACTCCAGTACTGTAGCGGATGTTACGTCGGATGTATTGAACACCTGCTACTAGCAATGGAGCGAACTTGAATTTCTAGTGGAGACCGAGGAACAGGAAGGCACAAATACAGACAAAGAAGCGGCAACGACCGCCATCTCCGTCCCTCATCTTGGACACCATGGACTCTTTGTTCGCTACGAAGATGGAGACCCCATGAGAAGCTTGAGCCCTAGGGCAATCTTGCGACTAGTTAAACGTTCGTGAGGGAGGCAATCTGAAGATCTTCTTGGGACACAGCTATACAACAAATCGCGTTCTTACCACTGAAGTAGTATCCATACGCCAGACAACTACTAGGCAAGCATTTGAACTAAAGGTGAATGTGTTGACTTGCACGGCATGGGGAATAATCACTTTTCTTCCATTATAGCATCAACAAGCAGCCCAGAAGCCGGCCCGCAAGATGACGTCGTGATTGAAGTCATTTTTCCTTCAAAATTATTTCCTAATCTTCAAAGCTGTCATTATTTTCCAAGTAGCAGCGCTCCTTCCCCTACTTATATTCAGGATACTACTGAAGAAAATGGGTGTTTTTTGTGAGAAGTTGTGAATATTTGGACTTCGCAGATTTGGTGCTCCAATAGATTGCGGGGCGGCGAAGGCGCGGTCACTGCTTTTGAACACCTGCTAATAACACGAATGTTAAGCGAATTTTTAATTTTGGTTTATTGCAACTTTTAGGTTTGAATCTTAGCTTGCATTCATTTTTCTTTGATTTTCTTATACACATTTTGCTTGTGGACGGATATTATGAGAACCATCTCACCCCAACGTCATTGCTCATAATGTGAAGTTTTTTTTTTCAGGAATGGCTCGTTCGAAGAGGGATAAGGAAGGTGGGTTGATTTGTTTCCTGTAGTTTCATATAGAGAAGTTTTTAATCAAGCTTTCAGTAATATTTTCTGGAATCAGATAAATTGCTTGCTGTCCAAATCATCCTAGTAAATAGTTACCAATACAAGTAGTTATGCATTGATATTTTGGTCTCATTTCGCCTATGTCTCAAAATTTTGGCAGCGGGGGGGGGGGAGGTGTTCAGCATACATATGACAACCAAATTGGTACAGTCGAGTAGATTTAGCGGTAAATATAGTGTTCTTGCACAGAAGGTGAAATGCGGTAAAATTTGCACGTGAAGAAATAGCTTCGACTGTGACGCCGGCCAATTGCGCGCGTAAGGTACCCGCAGTACTGGCGCGGCTACTTGTTCACGCGCAAATTTCACCGCATTTCACCTTCTGTGCAAGCACACCATATTTACCGCTAAATCTACTCGACTGTACATTGCATGATGGACCTTTCGGTAGAGTTTTGGCTGATCGTGTTGCTGTTTGTGAGACTATTGAAAACTCTAAAACTTCGACAATGAGAGATACTGGTTCCTCACCCAAACATATCGTAACCTTAGTAAGTAGAAATTACCTTGTGGAATGAATTTGATCTCTACAAATTACGTGCTCCCTTTTCCGAAAATAAGCATTCTTTTTTCATCTAGAATCTCTCCTCTCAAACTGGAGCTTTCCAAGGCACTGGCTAGAACTTCGCTGGAAAGCGCTGAAAAGTACCCGAAAGCGCTCAAAAGCGCCCAAATTTCTCTATTCTGTCTTTTCCTCATCTCTCTTCACACGAGAAAGTGAAGAGAGATTCGAGAAATTTGGGGGCTTTTGGACGCTTTTGAGCGCTTCCGAGCACTTTTCGGCACTCCTTAGCGAAGTCCGACCGGGCCTAAATGTTGGTAATGGCTAAACTCCTTGTTTCAGTGTCTCTAACGAAGGTAAAGAAAAAGACGCGTGAAACCAAAGAAGCACTGATAAAAGAGGTATCTTTTTATTTGGGGATAGGGGTCTACAAAAATAGCTATCCAGTATAGGTTCGTGCCTCGGTAGATAAATACAAGCATCTATTTGTTTTTAATATCGAAGATATGCGAAGTACACATTTTATCCAGGCAAGTTACAAATACCTCATTCTTTTATGATTTTCTTGATTGTGTTCATTGATATGTTAAGGTTCGGCAACGATTTAAAACGAACAGTCGATTCTTCTTCGGCAAAAATAATGTTATGGCTGTAGCATTAGGTAAAAATCCATCATCTGAGTATGCACCGAAACTGCACTTAGTAAGTTAGAATTAGAACTAGTATTAATTTTCAATCTCGAATTCAAATTTTTCAGGTGAGCCAAATTTTACAAGGCCAATGCGGACTCATGTTCACTATGTTGTCGAAGGCTAAAGTTTTCAGGTAATTTGCAAGTTGTTGTTCTTGAAGTGGGAGTCAAATTGCTGCTTAGGTTGTATACATTTGCCACAACTTCTGCTTTATCTCCATTTTCAGTATTCTCAAAGAATTGACTTTTGCTGATTACGCTAGAGCCGGTCATATCGCCAAAGAATCTATCACTGTGCCAGAGGGTCCCCTTCCACAATTCGCATTTTCGATGGAGCCGCAGCTTCGGAAGCTTGGTCTACCCACGAAGCTTGACAAAGGTCTTTTGATTTTTACATCTCAAGGAATTTTCCGTTCCCCTCATTTTCCTTCATGAGATTTTGCACCAACTTCCGTTTTTATGACTGAAAAGACTCTGACATACACGGTGCTTTCTCATGATGCGGGTTCAATGTGCTTCGTGCTTTCTTCGTCTGCCTTCCTGAATTGAGTGGTTTTTCGATTTAGGAACCATAACGTTATACCAAGATTTCGAAATTTGCAAGAAAGGAGAACCAATCACAGCAGAGCAAGCTAAGGTATCAGATGTTAGCTATATTCTTAGCTAATCAAGTCATCGGGACCTCATACAGTTTTCTTTTAGGTCCTCAAACTATTTGATTACAAACTGGCTGAATTTAAGATGCATATCGTGTCACAATGGGATAAAGAAGACGGATACGTCAATTTGACAGGAAAGGCCTAAAATTTTTATCATTTGTTACTCATGAAGACTACTCATTGTTGTTGATTGCTTCTTGTTACATTGTTGCTTTTATGATCTGTTAAGACATTGTTTTGTTGATATTGATGAAAGATGAAACCATACGCTTTGTAAGTATGACAAATAATATCATGAAAAGCATACATAATGGTAATTACTGCAATCAATCCAATCATCCCTGAATCTCTACTTGAATGTTCATGAGAAACTTTTATGTACAGATGAGAAATCTAAAGTGTTGTTGATCAACTCATATGTTCCACGCATCATGACAAGCACTTGACTTTGTACGATAGTTAGTTAGAACCACAGCAGGTAATGGTAGCTGTAATAATTCAATTTGTCTGCTACATTAAATCACTGAGGTGCGCGTCTATACTTCGCTTTTCGGTAGATTGCGGCTAGTAAGGCAGCTAATGCTGAAATATGATCGAATATGTTGAAGAATTATTAATTAGTTGATAGGAAGTATTTTTAGAGTGTTACATATTGTACCTCAACTAGTACGGTGATTGTAGAGAAGTGTACTAGAATTGTAATGATCTCTGATCAAGAAAATATCCGCTTTTCTCTTCCGCGAGCGCACAGCGATCCAGATCCTATCTGGATCGCGGACTGAATGCAGCCATATTTCTAAATGCTTAATCGTTTCTCACAGATTGACTGTGAACGAAAATATCTTCCAGTCATAGATTGCAGTTTGCAAACTGTTATGGTTTATATGTTTGATGATCGGAGATTTCCGATTCAGTCACTAGGCCTCATTTTTAACCTAGTATTACTGCACTTTTCTAAGCTGTCGCTACACAGGATTCCAGTATGAGTGTCACGGTCGACGCTGCTGTCCTCGCGAGCCGCGTCGCCTGGGTGTCTCGCTGTGTTCGTTCGCAGCGAATGCGGTATTTCCTACGCTTGAGACGTGGAAAATACCGTATCCTTAGGCAACAATGGCTGACGAGCTTGGGAAAGTGCTATGAGACATTCGCTAACGCTCGAGTGACCTAAACGAGGAGCTCGCGAGGACCCGAGCCGCGCCGACAGTGACACTCAGGCTCCCGCCAGAGTGCCGAAGCCTTGCCAGCGCTACGCCAGCGCCGAGCCAGCGTTCCGATCGATACACGTGTATTTCGTTGGCGGCATCTACCTGCTGAGAACTAGGTCAGCTAGCCCCGCCCCAAACGAAATACACGTGAATCGATCGAAACGCTGGCTCGGCGCTGGCGTACGCTGGCATGGCTTCGGCACTCTGGCGGGAGCCTCAGACTGAAAGTTCCTGTAGTAGTTTGCATAGGTACGTACACAGCTTCGACACCTGTCGACTAGTAATGCCGCGTACGTTAACGATCTGTACATTTTTCCGGCGCTCGATTTCACAACTGTCACAGATTTATTGAATGCTCTTCCCTAAAGCCCTGGCCATACCGTCAAGAAAATCACCGCGATGCGATTTGTGCAATCGGACAACTGCCATACCGGGTGTGGTGCGGAAGGCGACAATCCCCAATTTTGTGCCTATCAAAAACTCTCCGGTGTTAAAGTGACACCCCGGGGGACTACGGGGGTGGGGGTGGGGGCAGATACATTACTCAATGCCACAAGTAGAAATCCGTGAAAGTCATTCAAACGGATGATACACAGCCTCCATTTTTCGCCGATTGTCGCCTTCCGCGTGCCCCCCCTGCCATACCCCCTATCTCATGCCGGCAAATTATGCATATCGGTCGTGCTAGCTGTCCGGCGCGACGGATCGCAGACCGTGTTTTCCTAGGCCGTACCTATTCCAGCGATATCGCCGCGATTTGGCCGAAATCTTGCGATATCGCGTTGCAAGTCTGAAACTTGCGACGGGGCGATATCGCTGGAATTGGACTTCTTTTCTGAAAGTTTTTGAAATAGTTCTTTTCTTTTTCGACTTGTTTTTTCTGCGGTGATGTTAAAATATGATACAGATTTCCTTTTGCACTTCGCAATTGCACTTCTGTCGTTTTATGATGCGCGTCCTTTCTAATTCGTGCCATCAGTCGAAACGAATATTTTTAATTGTTCGAAACTCGTAATTGAATAACATGCGTAGGGTTTAGGTATCTGAAATTCGCGAAAAATCAGCAAAACCGCAGCTACAACTTGAGAAAATTGCTTTTGCATCCTGTATCCGCCAAGAAGTTGAACGAAGATGTAAACGCGCGAACTAATATGAAATATTGGTGCCGGACGTATTGGTGTCGAAAAAAGACAAAAAAGTTTGCAAATGTAAAGAAATCACGCTGAATACTGCTTTTGGATGGCAAAAGAAAACGTAGAACAAGTGCTGAGGTGTGTATTTCCACCTTATCACTGAACAGGTAGGTATGTCCAGAACTCGCGATGAGCGATTTGGTAGTCGATTTCATCGCTACAATCACAAAATTCTTCGGCGATGAAATCGCGACGATGAAATCGCTGTACGTATGGCCAGGGCGTAACGAAGGCGGTCGGTAATGTGCGAAGCGACTGGGACCAGCGTATTTGAGCATCCTTTATCATTGGAGCTACGTTCGCATAGCCTCGCGTACATGGACGACCACCTTAGTGTCGGATTAGCTTTGATAGCCTGTCGTAGCAGTGGCGAACCGAGGGAGGGAGCGGGGGGGGGGGGCCTTCGAGAATGGGTCGCGAAATTTTTAAAAGTTACTTATATGGGTTATAAAAATGCGCAAGTGACTTGTTTATTTTTGCAAGCAACTAGAATATTTTCTAAAAATCTTTAAAAATTCAAATTAGCCTTGTAAAAAAATTTTTTTCGGGAGCGGTTGGGGACCCACAAAATTTCTGAGAAGCACCCCAAAAATTTTTCGGAGTGCGTGGCTGACGTCACGCACCTTCACTGGAAAATTTTTTTGCCGCCTCCCCCCCTCCCAAACGGAAATCCTGGGGCCGTCACTGCTTCGTAGGTATTAGTGTTCTGTTCATAGTTACTCCAATTTTGGACAAAATTGTTGACGAATCGTTTGACTTTGACCGCTCTGACTTGCTGAGTCCTTCAAGAAGTACCAATTCTTCTCTTCACTGATTGAATTGGTGCCTATTGGTTCATATAGCTGAACTTGCAGACTGCATTGTGAGTGCCTACCTAAGTGCTTTGTTTTGAGCATGTTAGTGAAACTATGGACCACAACATTGAGCACAACATTTATTACTTATTATTCATGTTATCTAACAATGCTCTATAAGAGAATATAGAAAAGAATTTACACTGCGCATTCGACTTTGTGCAAAGCGAACCTATAGACGCAGATAAAACTTGCATACACATGATACAAGTCAACGATAAAAGGTATGATAAGGGATACTGTGGGATGGGGAGAGGAATATGTCAAAATGACACCTCAAAGGGTTTTATGCGTTTACAAAAAAGACGCAGACGGGAAAAGTCCATATAGCTAGAAATCTATATAAAGCAAACTATTATTATTCTTACTATAAAATCGATATATGTATGGAATGGTGGGTAAAAAATATCTAAGGCAGAGGTCGAGTATGGGTCAAACAGAGGTATATTGATTAAACAAGTAAATGCTAAGAGACCGTCAGGTTCGATAACAATAGTAGCTTGAGAGGAGACACAAATAGAAAGATCGTCTGAGAAAGGCCTTTCTGATTATATAACGAAGAAAAGTGCTTCGCTCAGCTAGTTCTGCGCGACGGTATGATTGCGTGTGAAGGTGAAATAGGTGCGTATGCTCTCCTAGGAAGTAACGGCATTCCTGAAGTGCCTAGAAATTAGGCGATTCAGGGGGTGTCGCCGACGTACGCAGAGCTTCGCTCTGCCCCTCTAAAAGTAAGATGGGCTATTTCAAACCTTCACTACGAAATAATCAGAAAGAAGACAAAACCTACTTTTAGGGTGATCACTGGAAACGCGCATCGACTGAAACTGCCCATTCAGCGACATCACTGCACGCGTAGATGTACGTACAAAGCGTCCACCCTAAAGTTCAATGCATAAGTTTTAACGGTATTGAAAAATTGAAATCACCATGTGTCTGGATTAAAATGAGTCTTTCACTATCTCGAAAGTGGAAATAAACACGTACTAGCTATACACGATTCATCGCACGCAGAGCCTGGACGCCGCTGCGTCCAAACACGATAGTTCGCGTATTAAGAGAGATAGTAAATGATCAGAGGAACAATAGTCCATCTGATCTGAGAGACGCAGACAGAGTCCGCAATAGAAGCCTGCCTCTGCGTGGACGAATCGAATACACATGCACTTGCAAACAGACACAAACAACCACAGTGAATCGTGCAAACCGATCGTTGTCGTCGAGGGGGCCTCTTCTGCGTATTTCTCCCTTGATTTCCAACTCGATGATTCATTCTCGTCTGTGTTTCGAATTTGCAGTCACCACTTCCATCTCGCATCAAGTGTTGATTCGGAACGTCTGCACGCTCTTTAGACTGCTCTTTAAGGACAGATTTCACGTTCACTGCATCATCGCAAAAAACTATAGTCTTTTTATTCAGGTCTTTTTTAGTGAGTGAATTTTCATCAAACTCCTTCTTCAATATGTTGCTCCAACTGTCATTGCTGCTATCCTGAAAACATGCCCGCAAGCTGCATGCTTCATGCACTATCAAGCAGTAAACTCAACAAAACTATCATGCAAAAGACCCTTACTTTGATAAGAATAAAGATCATGAAAGCACCTGAGGATTAGTTCCATGATGTTGCGGCGACGGCGTAAACAGTCCTTGAGCTATTGGTGGCGAGTCGTGAGACTGCTGGACTGGTTGCTGGTTGTAATCAGTACCTCCATAGATGGGTGTAGCCGGTGCCCCATTAGTATACATCATCTGCATGTTGGCCGCATCTCCGGCTGCCGCCATTGGTGTATTATTGTAGTAGAAAGTCTGAATGTGCGAAATCGGGCGAACATACAGATATCAAAGCTTATGATGCATTTGTTCACCTGTTGATATTGGACATTGTGAGCTTCAGCGCCAGAAAAGTATGGAGCTGTAGGTACCGATGTCATTTGCGGAGTATTGTAAACATTTGGTGGAGAGCCACGGGAATGCATAACCGATGGAGTCATCTACAACTTACGGTCATTATGCTGTTGATTGAAATAATTGCTGAAATATTCTAAAAACTCAAGTAGCTATGTAAAAAATCGTACGCAGCTGCCCCAAGCTTTTTTCTACAAAATTTTAGTGTTGTAAGTTTATCGAATGAATTGAAAACCATCCCAGAGAATTTTCTGCGAGGGGTGTTGCTAACGCACTCGAAAAATAAGTCCTGCCCCCCCCCCCAAGGAAAACTTTTGAACCGCACTGGAGCTTGTCTGTCGAACAAGAATCCAGAAAACTCTTGAAACGCACTGGAGCTTGTATGTCGAACAAGAATCTAATCTCTGAATCTGAAACGCTCTTTGTCAGCTTTTCACTCACCGGTGTTGGAGGGCCCTGCGGCTGCACGTACACTGGGTACTGAATGCAAGGCTGTGGTTGCTGTGGCGGTACTGGTGCCGCCACTACCGACACTGAAGAGCTGGCAGCAGTCGCGGGCGGGGTTGCCGGCACTTTCACAGCAGCAGGCACACCCTGTTCAGCATTTTGCGCGGCTGTCTGAGCACGAGTAGGAGAGCCGTCTGGTGTGTTAGCTGGAAACAAATTTATATAGAGATAATTGTTGAAGACATCGCACCTGTTCCATTTGGTGCAGGATTTGCAGGTGGCTGCTCTACAGCAGCCGGAGCATTTGGTGCTGCGACCGGATAGATCATGGCCTGAGGGACAGGTGAACCAGGCGTATAGACATATGCCTAAGTGCTAGCTTTGAAACTCAAAAAGTGGAAGCACGACTCTTTACCTGTGGTGCGTTAACCATAACAAAAGGTGGCTGCGGTGGAAATGAATAGGTGTAACCATATGTGGGTGACTGTACCAAACCTGTTGGTGTTGCGATTGCATAGTCTAGAGAGAGGAAAATACATGACCTTTTTGTTGCGTTGACTTCATACTCACCAGTAGAATAGCGCTGTGACATTCTTCGAAGAGCCGGACCAAGATTCAGCTTACGACCTTTGAATTCAAGTTTGTCTGGAGACTGTAAAGATGTTGCTCGCATATATGCTATTCTCATGAAACTCTAGCTATTCGCTAATTCCATTTTAGTTTATACTTATTTTACTGGTGCAAAGTTCGAGAAGCGCTGTTTCTTGGTTATAACTGGTGACAAATGACTGGAATAAAGTACGCAACGCGCCCTTTACGCCTTTCCTCGCGCATCCGTTACCCACCGTAATTAGCCCTCTAGGAACCAAGCGAGGGGAGGGGAGTGAGGGCGGGAATACTGTCCTTATTATTTATTACATAGGCTACCCTATGTTGACAAAACAACAAAATTAGTGTCAACAGAATCAACCAATAGCTCGCGGGTAAAGTAGCATACGAATTAGCAAGTATGAATGGGCGATAGCGTATACATTATGTGCCAATTTCGTACTTTCTTTTGCCACAAGCCATAGTTGATCTGATCCGCTAAATACACTTCATTTAGAACGCGCTGTAAGTAATTTGTCATTTAGTGTCGCGTACAGCGAATTGCTCAACAATACAATTTTTTCACCCACGTGGCCTCAAATAACAAACTATTCAGGGCGCGATTTACACGAAATGGATTGAGCGGATCAAGTGATCAATCATGGCATGCACCATACTTGATCCGCTTGACCCACTTCGTTATTGGTCAATTCAGTCAACCAATAGCGTAACTAACCAATAGCGAAGCGATTGCGACTTGATCCGCTCCGCCTGCTCCAATTCATCCACTGCATTTTTAATCAGTTCACTAATGTGACCGATGCGAAGTGGATGAAGCGGATCACGCGGATCAAATGGATCAAGTATGGCGCGTGCCTAAGAATCAAATTTCGCAATCGCAACGCGCGCGCCTTGCGTGCGCTCTTTCAGTCAATAGGGCCAATTTGAATGCGCGCCATGCGCGGGCGAAAATGGCGCGAAGATACGCGTGTCGACTGCGCCGATGTAGATAGGGAGTATGCTATTGGCACAGGCTGTGGCTCTTCTTGACGCGTACTGCGTGCTACTCCCTCACCATTTGCAACGCTGCCGCGTGCGCGGCGGCTTCCCTCCGTCTCCAATCTTCTCTCTCTTCTAATAAAAATCAACATTACCATCCCACGGACTGAGTCCGCTTCGTCGTCGGTATCAAATGTAATAAAGCCATAGCCTTTCGAGACACCATCAGCGCTTCTGATCACTTTCACTTCTTTGATGGTAAAGAACTGTTCAAAGTGTTCTCTGAGTTCCAGCTCAGTTGTCTGGAATTTTAGAGGACTATGGAAAATATCGGTTCAGTAATCGGACAAATGCATTCAACAGAACATTCATGCTGAAACTTGATTAAAGGACGCTTACACTAGCTGGAAAACCGCCGACGAAAACTCTATGAGGGATCAGTTCGTAAGCGGGTGTGGGAATCACCGCAGTAGCACCAGTTGTGTAGTAGATTCCAGTTGACATATCGTAGACGGGTGAAGAGGTGAACGATGGGATCATCACTGAAAGTTTCGAATTTGATTTTTTTTTAAGACAAGAAGAGGAGGGTCCAAACAGCTCACCTTAACTCAATTCCTTGAACGTCAACACAACAAAAAGAGAAGTTGGATTAATCAACGCCTGCTGCGTGTGGCTGGGTTGGCTGCTACGCTGAGCGAAGATTGTTCAACCAATAGAAAGTACTGAAATTTCAGGAGAAAATCGATACGCACTCTAAACACTGGACCTAGTTAGTGTAGCACATAAAGAGGAGAAACAGAAAAACGCAAGAGGAACGGAAGGAGAAATGCCGAAGGCGACCGCACGCTAGGTGGGATGAGCTGCAAATGACCGCCAACTTCACTTTTGCCCCTTACGTTGACTTTCGATCTATGGAAGTCGATAGGCGCGTTGGTCAAAATCGCATTTGAAGAAAATCTGAAGCACGATACGGTGATATTTTCCGAAATAGACTACTGTGAAGACGTTTATACTCCAGTCCAGAGGGAAGAGACATCGTTCACATCGCTAACAAACACGTTTAAATCGACTACATCTATTGTTGCGATCAGTCTTGCAAAGTACGATAGAGACAAAGGAAGACGCGCAACCAACCGTCATGACAAATCCCAATGATAGAAAGTCCGAATATCGATTGAATATCAACGCACCTCAATAACTATCGTTTGTCACGTAGACTTCTATCGAAATTAACATGTTCAAATCTGTGCATGAACACGACGTTTTGAGTCGATAAATTTGATTTAGGGTATACAAAACGCATGATCACCTATTTATCGCAGAGGCTGTGTAAACTGTACTACTTCGTTATTCAAAGAACAAAAAATTTGCACTGCTACAGTGATGCCAGCGATCTGACAAGCCCCACAGACTTTCCCGCCAAATCTCGCCGCAACTGCGCGCGTCTGAAAGCATTCTAGTATCCGCTTATTGTGAGTATCACTGTATTCCACATTCAGATAGAAGGACTAGTGAAGACAAAGCTTGGTTTATGAGTTCACACGCTAACGAAAACCGCCGCCTCTTCGCTTCTGTCTGAAGCTGGGATTCAATGATATCTTCTTCTACAGTCTGACACAATTCATATATGCTAACGGCCACAGTGTCTGTTGGTGTCATGTCTGCGAGTTGCTATCCGAAGTTGCAACACCGTTCCTACTTTTTAATTCGCCAATTCATGGCTAGCATGTACCAGTGTTTCACGTAGTATCGCTAAATGACAGCGATACCATGTAAAACACATTTTCGCAATGTATTTTGAAGTATATTAGTGTACACAGGGGCGCCACGCAGACACTGGATGGCATTGCGTCCAGTCTCTATGTGCAAGAAATCGCGTGCATCAAATAGTACCCTAAAATCCGTGCAATAAGTCCGCCTATCAGATAAGTCCGCCCTATCAGATAAGTCCGCCCTATCAGATAAGTCCGCAGATGAACTAACAGTTAAGTCCGCTTTCTTGACAACGAAAGTCACCCTCGCGCCGCCAAAACTCCTGCAGATAAGTCCGCTTTCTCATGCTCAGGATAGGCGAACTTATCTGCTGCGGACTTATCTGGTAGTGGATTTAGGAGGACTTATCTGGTAGACTTTTGGCGGCGCAGAGGGCGTTTTTTCATCGAATTTTCGCGTCGAAACTGCAGATAAGTCCGGACTTATTGTGCGGATTTTAGGGTACTACTAAAAACGCACTGCTAAGATAGTTCGGGTTTGGAAGACACAGTGGACGGTAACAGGGTCTAACTTTTGTCTTTTTAAAAAGGAGGACGACGGTGGAGGAATAAATACCGCCATCAGACATGTTGATTTCGAGTATCGCATTCGAGCTGCCGTGAATTCGTCCCAACCGTACAACAAAGCTTTGGCGTTGAACATAAGATCGGGACTTTGGTAACCAGCTTGTCAACTCCCTGGGACTTTCCGTGGAATGAGTGTCGTTACGTAAAAAGCATCAGCGGACGTCTCGGACTCACTCGCTATAGCAGAAAACGTTTGAATCGCCATAGCAAATATCAGAAGTACTTACTGTTAGCAGGCATTAGACAAGTCATCGAAATCAGAGCCATGATCACTAGTCCTCTTCCATACTCTACTTATGATGGACACGGTGGACTTACGATTCCGCAGTATCGTGGGAGTAGGAAACGCCGCGTAGAATGGTGTAACCTTTGATTCAACTAGCTTGGCTTCGGCAAGGCGGAGCTTTGCAACGTAATTAAGCCCGCTCGCGCCCGCAACGCACCTGCATCTCTCTCGCGCGGATGCTCTCTGATCACTAGCTAGCCCTAATTAGGTCACGGACCCCCGCCTTCCCGAAGCCAAACCAATTGAATCAAATGGTATAGGCCGTCCGCGCAGGGCGCGGAGAGTGCGCAAGGTGTGTATTGCGCATCACTCCTCTTTCCTCGTGCACTCTCGCCGCCTGTTTTTCTCTGCGCTTCTTCCAGTCGTGAACTGCCTTCAATGTACGCAACAGCGTTGCTCTCTGTGCGCAGCGCGGACGGCCTATATGTATTGATTTCTTTTCCCACTATGGTCCGCCATCTCAACGTGGATGGGAATGGTGGGCGAACTGTAATGTACAGCCGAGTGTGTACTCTGTTCGGGCCTCCTAAGCTGTGAAGGAGTTTGACATTTCCGGCTTCGGCCGGATATCTAACTAAGACCGAACGTCGGCTGGCTTTCTGACCGCTAGGCGGTCCCCGCTTCAAACCTGGGGTAGCTATTGACCTTTGGAAATTAAGAACACGGCTTAGTAAGTCTGCTCTCGTAGGGGAAAAATGGCCGGGGTACAGTCGAGCAGGTTTTTTGCTTATTATAGTGTGCTTGCACTGTTGGTGAAATGCGGTAAAATTTGCGCGTGAAGAAATAGCTACGCTGGCGCCTTTCATTTGCGCGCGCAGAGTGCCGGCATTACTGGCATGGCTAAGTGTTTACGCGCAAATTTTACCGCATTTCACCTACAGTGAAGGCACACTATATTAAGCGGAAAATCTACTCGACTGTAACAAGAACGATGTCAGGGTCCTCAGGGCCTTTTGGATCGGACAAAAACAACGTCTGTCACGCCATAGAGACTGCATCATGCTCTGCACCTACAACGCCAAGACAGTCTCCACAACCGTGGACCTCTACGCCTTCTCGATACTGCAGAGCACATCAAGTAACATATCATCGCTATGCAGGAAACGAAGTCCAGGAAGAAGGACGTGCGACAGATGAATGATGGGACTCCCAACATTCGTGGTGAAAAGGTTCCATCACGAAACGTGGGAGGCGTCGGCTTTGTCGTCCACCCATCTATCGTCCATCTTGTCGATTCGCACGAGATCCTATCACCTCGACTAGGCATCCTACGACTACGCCCTCCACGTCAGAAGACCCTCGCATCATCTGCTTCTCCTCAACCTCACAAGGGAATGGTCAGAAGTCGAAGTGGCCATTCCAAACAAGCTGCATACCATTCGATGCAGCATAGAACGCTGATTTCAAATCTGCCTTTCGTATCTGCAGAGCGCCTTTGTAGGCGAAGTTATGAGCAGCTTTACTGCGGAAAAACCGTATACAAAAATTGCGAAATTAGGCACATTATTGCTGTTTCAGCTCATATCTAAGTACGGGTCATATGAACTGACCTAGTTGCATGTTTTGGTCCAACACTGAGCCGAGAATGGCTTTGTACGGCCAAGTTTGCATTTTACATGCAGAATTTCTTAGCAAGATAGTGGCCTTCAACGGCTTATAATTTCGTCCACAAAAGCGCTCTGCAGATAAGGAAGACAGATTTAGAGTCAGCATTTTTTAATGCATTCAATGGTATGCAGCTTGTATGGATTGGCCACTTCGACTTCTGACCATTCCCTTGTCAGCTGACGAGTCTAGATGCTCTCTACGAAAACGTGGAGGAGATCGTCCGCAGTAAGTTGTTTTACAGGGTCTGTGGGCGACTTTAAAGGCAGTGGCTCGGCAAATCCTCGACCTGAAGTTTCTTCGCTTACCTGGGGTATTTGACTCGCAGAAGCCGAAAATCCACCTTGAAGAGCGCAAAAAGGGCGAAAACCAGCATTTCCGTGACCCCTTATTTTTAATCTTGACGACTGGAACGGTTCCCGCCATGGCTAGAGACGCAGAATCGTTGCGGGACCCTCGCGGTTATAACAATGGGGCATGCCCTCTGACGGTGGGACGGGAATTGCAAGCTCGTCCGAGCACGTGTAATAATAGCTTGCGCGTACGAGTTAGGGGTAGTATTCTAGGCAGGGTCAGCATGCCCTCGGATCTGCTCAGATTTCATGTTGGGGTGCAAGCAACATTCCATATCGAATTTCGAGATGTTCGGTTTTGCCGAGCCACTGCCTTTCACGCGAAAATCGGGATGCTACCAGAAGAGGAATAAAGGCCGTGAACTTTGGAGAAATTTTATGGGCTCCCTAAAAAAACGGCAGCGGCCTCGTCAAGCTTCTCTCGGCGCATGATTCCAGAAACTCCATCTTCATGAAGAAAGAACATCGCTGGTGGACATGGTCTTCCAATGGAACGACTCTGCGGAGATCGATCACGTTCTCACCAATCGAAGTTGAAATTTGCTCGATGTCTCAGTAGTTCTATCCTCCTGCGATGGCTACAGTCCCGCTTCCTTCGAGCGAAGGTACAATTCAGTCGAGAGCTGGGAAAGAAGATCTGCAGTGCCGCATGAAGGAAGAAAGTCGTTTATGACGGTAACAGGCTAGAAGAGCTCATATCACGTTGTGACTGGCCCATCGAGGTGGTCCCAAAGTACGACTACGACCTGCTTCTGAAAGGATTGCGAGCTTGCGGAGAGTGCGTCTTGGTGACCTTTTAAGAGAATTCGGAACGCATTTCGAAGACTACCGAGGAAGAAGATCTAAGGCAAAGGCCGAATGTAACCCATCTTGAGCAGCTGATAGCCAACACCAGTTGCAGAACAGCTTTGCAGGAGGGTATTAGGAAGTACACGCAAGCCAAGGTACCGGAGCTGAAGAAAGATAAAGCCTTCAGAAGAGTCGAAAGGACCTCTGTTAATCTCACTTAGCTGACTGGACTACTGTGCGAAGAACGGATTCCAACTTTTCCAATATAAGATGGAATCTAAAGAACTTCTACACCAACCTCTTCCGCTCATCAACACAGAATCTAAAGAACTTCTACACCAACCTCTTCCGCTCATCAACACACCAGTGCCGATGCCCGTTAAAGGCAGTGGATCGGCAAAACTCAACAACTCACGATTTTTACGCGGTAGTTTCCTTATCGCCCAAATATGAAAACAGTGCAATCCCGGTTGCGCAGCCTGCCTTCCCTAGCGGGAAAATTGCTCTCAAACTAACACGCGCAGGCCAATCTTACACGCGTTCGGACGAGTTGGCAATTTCCTTCTCACCATTGGAGGGGAGACACGCGGAAGGCGACAATCGGCGAAAAATGGAGGCTGTGTATCATCCGTCTCAATGACTTTCACGGATTTCTACTTTTGGCATTGAGTAAGTATCTGCCCCCGCCCCCCACCCCCGTAGTCCCCGGCGTGTCACTTTGACACCGGAGAGTTTTTGATAGGCACAAAATTGGGGATTGTCGCCTTCCGCACCAAGAAGTACCACTAAGAGTTCTATCTGCTGAAGTGGTTACCGCGATTCAGACCATGGAGACGTCCACGCCAGGACTAGATCATCTTTCCTTGAACTGGGGAACGGAATTTATCTACCCAGAGAGGTATGCCGCCAAGTAATTAGCAGGGGACATGAGAGGTCATGAACTGTCAGCAATGCTAATTTGCACCAAATTTGCACCGAAGACAAGCAGATTTTGCTCACTACAGATACGACATCATCCTACAGTGTATGAAATCGGGATTTCATTGAAATTTCAATTCAAAGTTCAGTAGTGAAATTAGTCCAACTAGGGTAAAAATTTGTATTTAGGGGTAATGTGCTATGCTGGTTCCAAATATGTTGGTGATTTCGCGTGAAAACTCAAAATTTTTGTTTTTTGAATTTTAATCTTGTTTTCAAAATCTGGCAGAAAGCTTAAAATTGTGATTTGAGGATTTTCCATGATGTTGTTTTCAAATATGCCAATGTTTTCGCCGGAAACTTCGAAAACTTTTTTTTGAAACTTTGACTTTTTCATAAATTTCACTGCAACTTTGATTAGGCTAGTTTCAGAAGGACTAGGAAAAATGATTTAAATTGCAAAATAAATTTTGAAATAAGGTAAGATAGAATTCAGTGAAGCTGAAACTAATTTTGAAGGATTGTAAAACATTCCCAGCTATCATTAAAATCTGTGTATTATCAAATTATTTTAGACACTACAATTAAATTGTTACCATATTCGTAAAGAGCGCCCTTCAAAACCCCCAAATCCAAGTTTTTATTCTGATTTGCCAAATATCGCCACTGAACATTAATTTTCATTCCGTCACGAAGCTCGCTTTTATTTTCACGCAAAACCATCATCATATTTGGAACCAGCGCGGCACATTACCCCTAAATACAAATTTTTACCCTAGTTGGACTAATTTCACTACTGAACTTTGAATGCAGATTTCAATGAAATCGGGATTTCATACACTGTAGGATGATGTCGTATCTGTAGTGAGCAAAATCTGCTTGTCTTCGGTGCAAATTGGGTGCAAATTAGCGTTGCTGACAGTTCATGACCTCTCATGTCCCCTGCTAATTACTTGGCGGCATACCTCTCTGGGTAGATAAATTCCCGCACCCCCTTGAACTTCTACGAGCCGGAGGACAACAACACCAGATGCTCGCGTCTCATCTAACATCTTACCTTCAGAAGGGAAGGAATCACCGTCCCGGAAAGGCGGCCCGCGGGTTCTCTGGAACGGGTATTGTTGAGGTTTTTGCGGATTTTCGCTTTCATATTCGGAATCAGGGACATGAGTAGGATCCGGATCGATCAAAACATGGAATTTGAGAATTTGTGTGGACGGCCTTTAAGCGACTGCTGCATGGACTGTACAACAACGGTGCAACTATTCCATCGTCCCCTAACCATCCCGCTTGAGAAGGGAGTTCGGCAAGGTGACACTTTCGCTAGCTGTTCACCGCGGCCTCGAGGTGATGAATTCACTATGCTGGGACGAGGGAGGCATACTTTGATGGTAGATGTTTTGCGGACGACATCGTTCTCTTTGCGAACAGTTTTACTGAAGCAGAGACGATGCTGAAGGAATTGAACGAAATAGTGAAAAGGAGGACTGCGAACAAATCAGGAAAAGACTCAGTTCATGAAGAACGTTCTTTGCGAAAATGCGGAAATGAAACGCAAGTCACCCCTATTATGGAGACGTCTTCTTACATGTATAATGGACATTCGATGATGGAAAATGACTTGTAGAACAACAGGAGAAGAGAAGCATCCTGCCACCCTCTGGCCCCTAACGAAAGCCACCGACCAACTGACGGACCCTGAGCTTCGGATCCAGTCTGTTCGACTCAACCGTTCTCCCGGCGCTCTGGTGGCGCAGTTGAGACTCTGGCCGACACTGCAGCGGCATTGAAAGCTCTACGGACTATTCACAGAGCGCTTGACCGCAGTCTTCTGAAGAAGAACCACACAAGGAACATCTAGTTGGACTTCACAACACGGATATGAGAAGAATGTCCCATCTTTGCGACCGGAATACGCTGCGAAAGCAAAGCACCGATGGGCCGGTAACATTTTGGGAAAAACAGACGATAGATGGACACTAAGGACATCTGAATGGATTCCTTGCGAAGCCAAACGTTCCCGAGGAAGACCACCAACGAGGTGGACAGAGGTGTTCGTTGAACGGATGGACCAGCCGAGAAATCAGCTAAGAATGATCTTTGCACCTAGAAATCGTGGATGCAGCCACCGACGACAAACAAGAGGACCATGGATGTCTGAAGCGAGAGACAGCGACAACTAGGAACTTTTGTGCTGGCTCCGCGTGCCAGTGAAAACGGGCCATCTAAGAATCTGTGTAAGTAACCTTTGATTCAACTGGCTTGGCGGCTGGAAGGCGGGGCTTTGTGGCCTAATTTAGGACGCTCGCGCTTGCTTTCTGATCATTACCTAGCCATACCTTCGATAGTCAAGAGACAGAGCCTAGAAAGTGATAGTTGTTTGAGTTCTTGCCCCCTATAAAAGTGAAGGTTGTTTTAGAAAAAATAGATGGAAATTTAGAGATCTGAATTGAACCAGGAAACTTGAAAAATTCATATAAAACAGAGGCTAACACATCACCAAATTTAAAACCTTATCTTGGTGGTTTCCTACGCACATTTTTGTCTTCAGAATTGCCGGTTAAATTGGGTGGCAAGAGGAACAAAGTTCTTTTCTAAATGAAAAAAAAGCGTTAGCTGTGGCGGTAGTTGGGAGACCGAAAGAAGGCAAACTTGTCAACAACTGAACTGAACATGTTGAACATGTATGAAAAGTTATGTTGCACATCGACGCCAATCTGATTTTTGACGCGTCCTTTGAATTTTCACCCCCGCATGGTCGTTTCGTATCCTGCGACGTTGTCTGGATTCTTCCGCTCATCATTCTGAGCAAGTAACGTCCAAGCTGGAGAAAATTCGTTGCAAAAGCATTGAAAAAGAGAGGTAAAGAAAAACGCACTTTTTGGTAATTTTCACAAAAAAACCGGCATAAGCAAAGAAGTAAGCTCGGCGACGTTGTCTACGTCGTAGACAAAAACAAGACCTATCGAATACACAAAAAAACCGAGTGAAAAGAGTTGAACTGAAGAAAAAACAAGAGGTTTTCGAAAACTCCGTTTTTCCTATATTTCTCGTTTAAATCATAAAAAGGAGTCTTGCGACGTTGTCAGCGTAAAAATAGAGATCAAGAGCTTTAATATGATATATAGATTGTCGAAATTGGGCTCTCAAAAACGAAGAAAAGGGTACCAGAGTTAAATGCCCCGCGCCCCGCTTTTGGGGTAGCGAGTAGCGCGCAAGTCGCGGAGACGCAGACGAGCAGCGGAGACAGACCAGAGCCGGCGGGGCATTTGGCTCTGGTCATTGATCTCCGCGGGATCATAACGAAACCCTGTAACATTATATATCGTTGTGATCCTCATGAGACGTCCAGGAGCAGTGACAACGTCGCGGGTCTTAAAAATCACTCCATAACGAGATAGACCAGCATTTAAGTAGCGACTCTCTGCGCAAGATTTGAGCGCAGTTTCTCGTTTCTATTGAACTCCAGCGGCTTTCATGAACTTCCAACGCTCAATCGAAGTCTAGAGAAAGATTAATTGAGAAATTTTGCTCCAGTTCCTAATTGAATTTTTGAATAAAAGTCTTTTTAGCAAAAAAGGACCATAAACACGTAATCCTTCGGTTTTTTGAGCTTCTTTTGGATGTCACTACCATATTTACCTCATTCACATCTCTCCCTATATGGATATGTCACTAGTTATGCCATGATATTCGGGGCTTCGCCCCGGATGACTTCCCTCTAGGTGAAGGTTGTGTTCTATCATGACGCTCAAAGTGAAGGTCACCAGAGTACGTGGCTCTATGTATCGAAGGTATGTTACCTAGCCTTAATTAGGTCACGTAGCCCCGCCTTCCAACCACCAAGCTTATTGAATCAAAGGGTAACTATAGTCGTCCTCACCCCACTAGTCGGTCGGTGGTCCAATTTGAATTCGAATTGGAGCAGACCGGCCGCGGCAGAGCGCGGCAGACCGCCCCTCAGCCAACCGCTTGCACATGAGTTTTCTCTTACATTCTTCGCGTTTCTTTGCTATCTTTCGTATTGCGGCAATGTTGTGTATCGGAACTTAGATTTTGCACCGCTAACTGTTGTCTTGTGCAGTTGTGCCCGTTTGTTTTATTTTTTTTCATGTAAACCGGGAAGAAGGATGCGCTTGGAATTTTTGGATGAGAAATCTCTTTTTTCCGGTAAGTGACATATACACAAATGTGATTTGATGAAGTGTGTCAAGTTTTTCGTTAGCATATGTACTCTAGACTACTTTTTGCAGTAAGATTGAAATTCTCTAAAGAAGTGTTTGTTTCAAAGAATTGGCGGTACGAAATCTGAAATCTGATTAAGAACATTGCTGCAGTATGAGAGATAGCAAGGAAACACGAAGAAAATAAGAAAAAAGCTCGTGCAAGCGTTTGGCTGAGGGGCGGCGTCTGCCGCGCTTTGTCGCGGTCAGCCTGCTCCAGTTCGAATTCAAATTCGACCACCGACCGACTAGTGGGGTGAGGACTACTATACTGAATTTTCGCTACTAGCGTGAAAACATGAGCTTGTCACAGATGGTGACGTGTGGAAGGTATCCGAGTCTGGGAAAACCTGCTCAAACGTATGGTTCATCTTCAAAATCGTGACGACGAGTTGTCTACGGACTTTGCGCACACATAAGCATAAAACACTTATACAAACAGGCAACACCTCAACGCTCAGCTCAGTCACTTCAAGTGTCTAATACTATAATATGTAAGCAGAAAAACTATTTGAGTAGAGATACAAACCAAGAAATGGGAATGCATGCGTGTTGTGCGCGGTCGCGCCATCGTCACGACTTTTCGAATGCCCTATAGCTCACTGTGCGTGTTTTGACACAGAAAACTCTGAACCTGTCAATTAATAAGCATTTTTACAACTTTATCAAACTCTAAAGCGACCGGGAGTTTCTCGGACATAGATCCATTTAAATCAATAATTGCATTCGAACATAACATATATAAACATATCAGATTGTGCGCCTATGATAACACAATAGAAAACATGCAAGAAATTTTGGCCAACGCTGACGATGAGGGCTAGAACTTCTCAAGCCTAGTCATCGGATACTGTATATTGCGGCGCTACGAGACCCGCAATGAGCGATATTAAAAAGTTAGATTTTAGAATCGAATCACAACATCTTCACATGGTGAGCAAGCGACTTCTTCTACATCAGAGTTTGAAGACAGGGACCAGTTCTCGGTCTTGGGAGGTGGTGAAATCGGCTTGCTTTGCACAACGTCAGTTGGTGCCGTCAATGCATCATCAGTAATTCGCGACGAGAGTGCGCGCAACATTTCACAACACTAAAATGGATGCATTTTAGTAAGAATCTGCGTTTGCGTTTCATAGATAGTGCTCTGCAGCGGATAGGCTGCGTCGCCGCGGACATCTGCCACAAACGGCTCATCATACCGCATCAGTGCCCGTGGTGGTTGTCCGCGTAGGCGTAGCTTATTAGCGATACAAGCCTACTTTGCGTTTGCTTGCTTTTCTTACCGTAGTGTAGTTGGGATCTCGTCGCTCTCTCAACGTCATCTCGGTTTCGACTTCATAGCGATGTCGGTCAATATGTGTCTCATCTAAGGCTTCTTCGAAAAGTTTTTCAACATCAGTAACATCTCTGTTGTCTAAAATTAGATCTCGGTATTGCAGTTCTCACTTTGTACAAAAGTACTGACCGCCATGTTCCACTTCGTCCAACCAGTCAGCAATCTTCTCCAGTCGCCGTAATGTGCGCGTGTGGAAGCGGCGATTTATGATGCATGAGATCTGAATTTCGATGATTTATCTTTTATTATATGGATGACCTTTAGTATATCAGAATTACTTTTAATGAGGAAGTAGGCTAGATGTGTCAGTAGTATGTTATTTGTGAATTTAGCAGCGTCCACATTCAACTACATTCTGTTTCATTTATGATGCCCCTTTTGCCTTTACGCATCGCAGCGCAAGAGCTTCGCGTGCCGACCTGCGAATGACAACGTCATTGAGTGTTCAAGCCATACGCCTGTGAAGGCGGTGCGAGCCTTGGTCAGGCGGAGTGCCGATGAAAAGGACGTTTTAGTAAAAACTGTAAAGACACTGATCATAAATTCAAAATAAGGAAAAGACTGCTTCAAAAATTATCAGGTAATCTGGTGACGCAAGGACTGGACATATTTGCGCAACGTTTCTTCGTCTGCGTCTCTTACAGTGAATGCGCACTATGCAAGTCCACTCTGACGCTTAGTCCACTGCATGGTTCAGTTCTGCACCGTGAATCCACCGTGAGCGGTCGGGTCATCGATCACGCTTTCGCCTGCCTACCAACCATTCCCCCTTCCCTTCGGCTCCGTGCTCCGTGCTACTTCTTCACCGTCAATCTACGACGTCGTCTGGATATTCAATGTCTGAGATGATCAATGAAACCCCCATCTACCCGCTCGGGCCTGCTGAGCGTCAAAAGAAGGAAAGCTACAATTTGAGGACAGTCCATCAGGTTCGCCGGATTTCTTCGAGGCCGCGAAGGAATTGACAAAGGACGAAAGCCTACCACTCCACGTTCGAACGATCATTGCCTATCTGGTGGACAGTCGAAAAGGAATGGACGACCTCACGCAGAGTAACCGTGAGTTAATAACGGACGTGAGAAAGCTATCAGAGGAAATCGTAACGCTTAAGGCTGAAAATCAAAGACTAAAAGATATTATTGACAGACGTTCGAGCAGTCCCACCAACCCAGAAGAAAAGGCACCAAATAATGGCAACATTTGGGAAAAAATGGAAAGGAAGAGGTCACTTGTCTTCGCTGGAGTACCATAAAGCAGAGGAGGACCTAGCAGTTACAGGACGAATCACGATTTTTCATGCGTAGGTCAAATACTCGACTTCCTCAATATTGATTGTCGTCCTGTCACGGTTTATAGAATGGGCCGACCTAGTCCCTCTAGAGATAGGTTATTGAAAGTGATTTTACCTTGTTCTTTTTTTTTGTAAATCTAACTCTCAAGCGCGCTCCTTCCTTGAAGTATTTTCCATTCAAAAAAGGACTTTACGTCCGCCCATCTCTTTCACAAGAGGAAAGAGCTAAGATCAAACTTGATCGTGAACGTAAAAGTAGCCCACGTAGAAACAATGTCGCTAATGACTCTCCAATTGTTTCTCAAGATGATCAAATGGATGTTTCGTCAACTCATTCTAATGTGTTGTCTAATCGCACTTCTCATTCTCAAATATCGAACTCTTTAAAGGCAGTGTCCGGGCAAGATGGGGGTTTTGAGATTTCTCTGCCATGTGAGACTGGCCCCCCTGAGACACAACATCGCGCAACTGCGAGCATAAAACGTTCGACCTAAAGCAAGAAAAACAATTGCAAAGTGGGGAAACTTACGCCTCGGGGCGGGGTCCTCCGAGCTGTTTGAATTCCTGCCAGACGACAGAGTACGTATGCCGCCACAGTTAAAAACCGTGCGCTCTTTGCAACCTCTGCGTCTTAGCCTGGCGGGGATCCCCAAATTTCGAAATGTGAGGACTTGGAAAATGCATGTTCTCGCCGTTTTCGCGCCTTCTGATGTGGATTTTCGGATTCAGCGTTGCGGATAACCTCAGATAAGTTGATTTTTTAGAAGTCGAGTTTCTGCCCGGACACTGCCTTCAAACGATTAGTTGCTCTCAGGAAAGTAAATGGTCCTTTATCATGCTTCTTGATGAATATCAGATCCCTACAAAAAAATATTAATTCCCTCAGGTTTCTCCTCTCCAATACTCCTGCTCATATGATTGCAATCACCGAAACTTGGCTAAATTCCGATTATAATATCACTAATTCAGCTCTCCTTGGGGATTGTGTTCCAATTATTTTATCTATAGATGCGATCGCCGACTCAAAAAAGGAGGCGTTGCCTTACTGATCAGTAAATTACTCTGTCCGTATCTTGTTTTTGATGAGTCAGTCAATGAGGGCTATGAATTGATCTGCGTGGATATCTATTCAAACAACATAGCAACCCGTGTTGTATTGGTCTACAGAGCGCCATCCTGCCCCTACCACTTGTCAGATCAATTGATCAAACTTGATACCAGACTTGATAGCTTCTAACCTTCACTCAATTGTGCTGGCAGATTTCAATTACCCTGAGATAGATTGGAACGAAATGAAAATCAGCAAGAGTAATCGTGCAGCCAAAACATTCTTGAATATGTGCCTTAACCTAGACCTCTGCCAAAAGGTTAAGTTCTGGACACTTGGAAGAAATATACTAGATTTGATCTTAACCAATGATGGTTCTTTGATCACTTCCGTGAAACCAAATCCACCTATTGGGTCAAGTGACCACACAATGATCAGTTTATCCATGCGTAGTATGGAATTACACTCAAACGGTTTCATTTTGAAAAGAGATATAAGAATGGAGATATTAAGGGTGCCGTCCAATACTTGGAGAATGTTGACTGGATTGGTTCCTTTAGTACGGTCGCTAGTGTAAACGAAATGTACGGAATGCTAATTTTTGTGATCCAACATGCAATCGATCTCTTTATCCCAATGAAGTTGGTACCATCAAGTAGACAGTTTGTACCTTTACATATCGCAAAGTTGTCCAGGATCCGAGAGGCGGCATGGTTTAGGTTTAGGTCAACAAGTATGGATGAAGATTTGATGAAGTTCAAAAATGTTAATTCACGTTTTGAGAGGAAACTCAAAAAATTTATTACATATTTAGAAAGAAAGATAATCAAAACCGGAAATAGGACCGCATTTTACCGCCTACTAAATGCCAGGCTTAAAGAAAGAAAAGGGATGGGAGCTATTATGTTGATTCCGGAAATATTTTGACCTCGGAGCTTGAAAAAGCCGAAAATTTCGCTAAGGTCTTTGAAGAAGTATTTGTTGAAGAAAACTATTCATCAGATCAAGCCTCCGTTGAACGGAATTTTGAAGAGATGAAAGAGTTCCGTTATTTTGATGATTTTGACATCTACAAACTCCTTCGGAAATGGCCTCGATCAAGGTCTCTGACTCCTGATTTGATATCTTTGCATTTCATTAAAGAGGTAGCTCACATCATTTCAAGGCCATTGCAGTTTATATTCAATTTGAATTCACTTAGGTCAGAAGGTTCCTGACAGATGGACAGTCTCTTTTATAACTCCTATACAAAAGAAGAAACCTTATACTTGCATTCATAATTACCGTCCCGTAAGCATAACGCCCATATTTGCGCGGCTTTTCGAAAAGTTGATCAAAATTCAGATAAATTAACACCTTAAGAAACATAACATAATACCGCAAGCACAGCATGGATTTCAAAAGGGTAAATCAACAGTAACCTCTATGTTATACACGCTCAATGACTGGACTATGGCGTTAGATTCTGGCATAAGTACTGATGTACTTATCTAGATTTCACTAAAGCATTCGACAAAGTACCGCATTCGAAGCTCATTCTCAAAATGAAAGTAATAGGAATACACCCCATAGTCGCTTGGATTTCTGCCTTTTTATCTAATCGCAAATTCACTGTTCATATTAATCGTACTTTTTCAAAGCTCAGAGCAATGATTAGTGGTGTACCGCAGGGTGGCGTCCTCTCACCAATTCTCTTTAACATCTATACTTATGATCTTCCTGCATTAGTCTCAAGATTGGGAGTGTCGTGTTGCGGTATCGCTGATTTCGAAATTTATGCTACAGTATCAACAGATGGAGACAGAGTCAAGATTCAGCGAGCGCTAGACGCAGTGGTTGCGTGGTCAATAGATTGGAAGCTACCTATATCTCGGGAAAAAACTAAGGTACTCCACATTGGTCCTGCTGACTCACATTATCGATATCAGATTGAAGGAAAGTACCTTGATTGTGTCAATGAAGTGAGAGACTTAGGGTTTCTGGTCAACAGTAACCTGAGTTTCGATAAGCACTGTGAAGCAGTTGCGGCGAGAGGTAATGCGGCAGTAAATAACTTATTCAGAGCATTATCAACTAGTGACACATGCCTTCTCATTAGGGCTTATAAAACTTATATCAGGCCGTTACCAGAATACGGTACTGTAGTATTCAACCCTACAAAAGCCACTTCAATTCGGGTGCTTGAAAAAGTACAGAATAATTTTACAAGGAAATTGCTTATACGGACCAAAGGCTTTCGGTATGAACAATTACCCAAGGGGACGCTCAGAAACAAGAAACTCGGGTTATTTAGTCTAGCCTTGAGAAGGAGGATGTTTGATATTACAGCACATAAGATTATATTCAACCACTATCAACTTGAGCCTCTCTTCGTTTGAAACTAGAAGTTCTAAAACTAAAGGAGGTTAAGGAAGATAGTGATACCTAGAGCAAGGAGAAACGTGAGGAGAAGATTCTTTGCTAACAGAATTAGTAGTGATCTGGATAGACTGATGAGAAGAGGAATGCTTCCCGTAAAGCTTTCCCAATTTGAGACGCTTTTAAGGGACTATTTGCTTTCGCAATAAAAAAAACTTCTTTTTTTGACTGATTTGTTTAGCAGCGTCCAAGATTGGTACAGATATTTATTCCACAATAAACGGACTGACATTTCGGCAAACTCACGTGTACAACATGTGGAGACACTTATATTGGCGAGACGGGCCGCCCCCTATGCACGCGCATCAAAGAACACTTAGATGGTCTCAGCAAGGGCAATGTAGCTACTCCGTTAGGCATGCATCGTAGGCTCAGCCATGACGACGCGGAGGTGGGAGTGCAGGTTCGAATCCTGGCGCGTGAACCCGAAATCCTAGCGCGCAAGACCTCGAAGCGTTTTGGATAGCCGCCCAAAATCCAAAAATCAACCGGAGGGATGAGTGCCTAGCCATTACTAACGACTGTCACCTTATCAGAGCCTTTGTGGCTTTTGAATAATGAGGTCAGGTCAGGACCGGGTCACTAGATGAATATAAAAGTAATGCAGTACAGTTTTTGACATAAGTGGTCTGCACCCACCAAATCTATTATCTGTTAAGGTGAGCACTAGCTTAATCTTGCGTTTTGGTTGATACTGTTGCTTGTCTAAAGGGCTGGGCTCTTTTCTGTAGTCGATAAGGTATTTGATCGGATAATTCACTTATGTGTTTTCGACTTTTCAGACTCTGAAAAAGGCGAGTTTGCCGAAACGTCAGTCTGTTTATTGTGGGATAAATATCTGTACCAATCTTGGACGCTGCTAAACAAATCAGTCAGAAGATCCAAACTATGCCAAGATTTATGGATAGTCGAACATGGATTCTTTTTTTTTACTTCTCTCTTCGTTTTTGTAGTCTGTTGTACTAACAAATGGTTTTTATGTTTTGTAGCACTTGTCTGTTGATGGTTAATGCATAGGACATCCTATGTAATGAATGAAATGAATGAAATGGCATTGACCTTTCTCACTAGTGGCACCCTCCCCTTTCCCTTTATCGTGACAAATTTGCCTACCCTATAACTTCTAATCAAAGTTTCAAGTAGTTTCTCTGCGATTGCATGACGATTAGCGTGGTCAAGGTTTCGGAGGCTTTCCAATGCTGTACACCGCATTTCCAGTATTTCCAACAGCTCCGTATTGGTACGGCCTTTCTCTACGCCTTCTGTAAAGAAACTATCTGAAAGCTCAAAAAATCCGATGACTAAAAATTACCTAAGAATTTATTCCACCATGTAGCTAGTTTTATTGCATCTTCAGTTTTATCTGCTTCGTGTACCATGGCAATATAAGAATGATGAGCAAGTGAGATCATTTGCCTGAAATGGGGATAAAACTCAAGGAGTAGACTAGAATTTTCAAAAGTTTCCTACATTTCGATATGTCCCTGCTTTTCTGCCGCTTCGACGATTTGCACACATCTTGAGAAAATTTCACGATTGAATGCATGAGCAGCACTTTGATAAGATATATCAGTACAGGTTGTAGGTAATTCGGCTAAAATTATAAATTTGTTGGTTAATCTTGTATAAGCTTGCTTAAACATACAGATTTCGCTAGCTGCAGAGCTCAGCGTGCTAGAAGGAGGAGTCAGGTCAAGAGGGCGGGGCGAGGTCGATGGGCGGGGTGAACACTCGGACGAGCGAGGTGAGAGTGGACGATAGCATTGAGCGCGCACCATATTCAACTTCTGGAATGAGACTGAAAAGTTAAGAAACCAATACACAATCAGCAAACCAAAAATGAACTACATATTAATCTTCAAACAATGTCGAGAAACTGTCTTGTTGTTGTGGGTAAGCTCCGCCCACTTTTGCTGCAATGGGCGGAGCTTGTCCACAAAATCCAAGAAATGCTTACCCGAACAATATCGTCGGCAACATCATTCCAATCGCTGTTCACCAGCAAATTTGTCTCGTCTACGGCTATCAATCGATGTAAAATCGCATCGATTTCCAGCACTCGGTTCATACCTACAAGAGCAACAGGTTATTCTCGATTGTTCCATATTTTTCGGCGCAAAGGTGACGTATCGGAGTTAGCAACGATGAACAATGCATAATGAGCCATATCAGTTCACAAAATCGGCTTTTATGGTCATGAGAAGCTCAAGCACATAAGTAAGCAAACAAGAAAGAGCGTCGTGAACAGCTGGTGATGGTTTTAGAAGAGAACAGCAAAAAGTTATGGATGGCTTGGATAAACAAGAATGGTCCCCGGTGTCCGTTCCTAATGGACGAGAAGTTCAAATCTACTAGAGAGTTTGATCTAAAAAGGTCAATGCGCAAAAACGTTTGGAAACAACAAGCTCAAATGGAGAAGAGCTCATTGTCAGATAAAAATAACCGAAGCTAAGCAAAGAAGATGCATAATAGTAGACCAATACAACGGGGACCAGTTCTCGCGCCTGTCGGCGTCTCTCCACTTTTGACGAGAAGTGTTTCCCAATGTCATCTATGCTTGGAAGGGATCAGTTCATAATGATTTTGAAGCTTCAAATGAAAAATGTTGCAAAAAAGAACCAAAGAAATTTTATGCGTGATCACTTCTCGTATTGCAAACATTTGCAAACAAACAATCGAGCCTTGCTGCCTACTATGTTTAAAAAGAATGCACGAAAAAATTTACTCAAATTGAACCCACTGAATAAAGCGAAGTAAGGAAAAATCAATGAAAAAATAGGTGGGGACCAGTTCTCGTGCTGCAACCATATCCGGGAATTTTACTATATATAAGTACCAAGCAGTGGCGGTCCGAGGGGGGAGGGCGCCCCCCCCCCCCGAGAATAGGTCGCGGAATTTCTGTTTATCTACATGGGTTATAAAAATGTGCAAGTGACTTATTTATTCTTGTGAATTAAAATAATTCTTTTGAAATTTTTCAAAAATTCAAATCAACCCAATAAGCTTTGTAAAAATTTTTTCGAGAGCGTGCCCGTCGCCACGCCCCTTTTTCTAGATTTCAAGGGTTATGGGCCCGCAAAAATTTTCAGAAGCATCCCAGAGAATTTTCGGAGTGCGTGGCTAACCCCACGTTCCTTCATTTGGAAAAAAATTTTGCCGCCCCCCCCCCACGGGAATCCTGAGACCGCCACTGGTACCAAGTGATATGCGATGTTGTTGAGAGGACAGTGGTATAAGAGCATAGCATTGCATAAGACTATAAAATGGAGAGTTTTTGTAGCATGGGGGCATAAAAGAGAAGTGCCTGTTGGTACCATGACAAAATGGTCCAAATCAGAATTTAACTGGGGAATCGGGGGGGGGGGGGGGGACGAGGCCCAATCTCATCGGCAAGCAGCTTTAGTGACACATTTTCTGACACCAAATGGCGGAAGCCTGTGATTGCAAGGCGATCTGAGGTGAACAGAGTCAGCTCAGCCATCGACGGTGGCTGTTTGCCGACGGGGACTATTCATGATCGCGTGCTGACCGGAACCGAACAATAGTTAAGTAGCCGTTCCAAGAACATATTGTGTGTGTACACACACACGGTCCAACCATCTCAGATCACTTCAACTAGACAAGTTTCTCGCTGCTGGAGGAAGTACGCAATTGCGGTAAAAAGTCACGATCTATAGGAAACTTCAAAATCCGGTAGTTTACAAAGTGAATGTGATAGATATGCAAGATTTGTTCAGATCACGTAAATTCTCGAGTAAGTGATACGGCTTTCGTAGGATGGGGACCATTTTGTACTAGAGCGTAAATCTTGTACAGTCATAACTCGATTCTTATGATTTTCTGTAGACCATATTTCACAAATAATTCTAATCTCCGTCGATGACTGCTAACGCAAAATTATGCACTCTTTTTTCAAGTGTTTGAAGAGTAAGGGGATTACGGTAAAGATATCTTCCCGGTCAAAAATCCACGAATTTCATCACTTACATTCTAACCTCCAATCGATGAAAAGATGAGCGAAATATTTTGAATTTTCTAAACCTTGGTGCACTATGAAGTTGGAAAAGCAAGAGGCTACATCTTAGAAAATTTTATATGGTGTTTTTTTACTTTCTACAAACTTTCAAGAAAAAGGCGAGGGAAAGGGCGGGGGCGGTTGGAGAAGGAAGGGTATGGAAGGAACACAGCTATTACATCTGCTTATTCTATACAAGGAAAAGATTGAATGATACAGTTCAAACAGTAAAGGACTTTGCTCCAGTCCTTCCTTATTTGCTTCACTGAGTTGGTAAAACAGGAACTAAATGTAGATGAACAACTTTGCTCAAGTTTGTTCGTTGAAACTGTAATTTCGGGTAAATCAAAACAGTGTCTTGTTTATACTTGCGAATAGGTGGAATAATTTTGAATCTCACAAATCTAGATTAGCTTCCAAAAAACTAGCCTTTCCTCCTCAATTTACTGAAATCGGGTATAAGCCCGCAAAAATTTTGAGAACCACAAAAAAAGAGCGCGAGGCTAATGCTAGGCACCTTCATGGAAAAAATTGTGTCGCACCTTCCCCCCCCCCCCCCCTCCCCCCTGGCGCAGAAAACGTTGCGTAAACAAAATCGGTAAACATCACTAGCAAACGTTCAAGAACTACCTGACCCAGTTCACAAATGAACTTTTTTATAGGGGTAAGAATGCTGTGAAACGGATTTGCCCTAAATAATCAATACTTACATCTTACATATAAAAATCAGAAAAAAAGAAAACGAAGTTCAGTGTATTTTGACGCCATTCTGCACAAAAACTTTGAGAAACACATACGTTTCAGCTTGCCCTTCCTACGCCATTTTGCAGAACTCCGAGGATGAGTTGACCGATTTGGCCCAGATAAAATCCGTTATACCTTCGTAATCCCAAATGGCGATTGGCAAGGTCAAGAAAATGAGTGGCAATAACAAGCGAGTAGGGAATCGTTTATTGCTCATGAGCTCTAGCGAGGAAGTAAAACAGCGATAATTATCGCGAATACTGTAAATCCGTACAGAAGTCATGGAGCCATCGAGGATTTTATGGCAAGATAGTAAAATGCTGGAGGTGCTATAAATTTTTGCTTACCCTGACAAGTTCCTTATCAGCTCCTCGCAATATGACCAACGGAGCGAGCAGTCTAGCAAAAAGAAAAAGTGCGAAGAAAATTCCAGGTTGTGTGGTGCGGGAAGCGGAAATTCCAAATTTTGCGCCCAAAATAGATGCCCCGCACCCAGTGTTTTTAGCGACAAAAACCTGGGTTTAATTATTGACGAAACAGGTCTCGACAAGATATGTCGAGGACGTGATATGTGAGTAGGCAGGGCTTCAGGTTGCTCATAATCTGGACGTAATGTCCTCTCCCCTCCCAGTTCCGATGCTAGAGTGCAGAAAAGCATATATCCGAAATCTGCATCTCTAACCATGGCGTCTGCATCTCTACCACAGTGAAAATAATGCGAACTTGCAAATAAGCGTAGGTTCAGCGGGCGATGGTTCGGTCCTTTACGATCGGCGATGCAATAAGAGATGCTTAGAAAGAATCGGATAAAGTTTAGAGATTATATTAACAGTGGCATCATGGAGTTTAATATTCCTTGAGGGAATTTTTTGATCCATTTCCCCGCAAAAAATAATTTGACCGCCAGTGCAAATAAATTTACGCTATAGATGATGAAAGAGAGGGATGGTAACAAATCTCTCATAATATTCTCATAATATGGTATTTACCTGTAGCGTTCCGAGAGGGGGGGGGGGAGAGAAGGGGGAGAGGAGCGTCCCTCAAAAAGAGTCACTGAATTTTTGGAAGTAGCCCACATGATTATAAATTAGCGCAAATGACTTACTTTTATTCGAAAAAAGTTGAAATAATTTTTGAAAATCTTGAAAATTTCAAGCTTGCTCATTGTGGGATTTTTTCTTGAATATCGGAGTTGTAAATCAAAAATTTCTGCAAAATTTGATAAAAATTTCGCACCCATCCCTCAAAAGAAAATTTCCCGAACCACCACTAGTACTCTACATAGATTGTTTGAACGAGGGGGGCGGAAGGGGAGAGGGGGGTGGAGAGAAGGAAAGGGAGGAGGAAGAAAGACACGTCTATAGGCGTCTAATGAAGGGGGCGAGAGGGAAACTGAGGAAAAGAAGAATGGAATGTTGATACTGAAAGAAAACGTGTTTAGCTAAATGAAGCCGCTTTGAGAAAATGGCGAAAGTCCGGCTTGAAAGTTCACAACATGAAAAGAAAAAGTGAAAAATGTCGATGAAAGACATAGCAAACTCTTTATGAGTGCAAGAAAGGCCATGAAAGAAGCATTCAACTCTTCACAATGAGAAAACTTGCGCATACAATGACAAAGTGAACGAGAAAGTGTTGACAAAAAGTTTATGCATGCAAAAAAGGAGCGAAGTTTGATGACAAAAAAATGTTGACAAAGAAAGCGAGAGAAAAAGTTATGAAGGTTATAAACTGGAAGTTCTAAATCAGGGCTCAGCACAGCTGGCACCGGGTCAAGCTAGATATCGTTTTTAGGGCGGAAAGCAAAGTGGATAACGTTTCTACAGGGGCCGAGGCGGAGAACGGCCGCAAAAATGCCGCCGGCATGCCACCGGCATGCCATTGGCAAGCAGTCCATCAACAAACAAAGGCGTTGTTTTCAGCCAAAACGCAATAGTATGACACCAAATTTGGTGTGTGCATGCGCGTTGGTGGACCGGAACTACGGGCCAAAAATTTATGAAAACCTATGTGAATGAAAGCTGTGCCGAACTTTTTGCTGAATTAGCTGGCACCGTGCCAGCTGGGTGCCAGCTGAGCTGGCACCGGCACTTTGCTCACATAAGTTTTCACACTTTTTTACATAAAATGTATCTACACTGTAAAAGATTACATACTGAGAAGAAACAGTTTCATAATGTTCTCTTTTCAGCGTTTTATAGCAATCTGAAAACCACTCGGTTTGCTCCGCAGTCGAAAAATCGGCTTTTTCTGCTTCTCAAGATGTGATTCGTCCACTTGAAAAGCTCAGAAAGCTGTGAAAAGTTCTTTCATGAA